GACTCTTATAAGCGATCACTATAGTAGCGGAAGCATTGCAATTGTGGTGATGCATCGTTATTTTTTTGTACAACCGAAGGAGAAAGTAATGGAGAAAACGAAGCAGACAAATGATGCGTTGAAAATGACGATGATGGAGCCAACTGAGCTTGAGAAAATGATGAGTTAGATGCTAACTGTTTAGATTGTGGAGGAATTTGTTGCTCTTCAGGTTCTGGTGTCTGATGTGTTGTTTTAGCATTGAAAGTTATTTCTTGTTGGTTTTGAGTTACTGATTGAGACATGGAGCATTCACCAGTTAATTGGTCATCAGACTTTTCATCAATAAAAGCTAAAACTGAATCATGGAGAGCATCGCCAATATCATGACGAGTAATTGTTTGATTAAATGATGGAGATGGAGGAATTGATGATGGTGGCAATGAAAATGATGGAGATGCTAGTGGGACTGATAATGACAAAGCTGGAACCAGTGGAGATGCTATTGGGACTGACAATGACAATGTTGGAATCAATGGAGATGACACTGGACTTTTAATGGGCGATTGTTGCTTCAAAGGCTTTGACGGTGACTTAAGTGATTCCTGAGAAGCAGGCAATTCATTAAAAAGCGTAGTGTTTTGATTACAAAGCATTGATTGAGGTGTCGAGTTTTCATAGCGCGATTGAGATGATGGTGGGGAAGATTGTTGTAAGAGTTGCAATGGAGTTGGAGATGCCGTTGGAGACAAAAGAGATAATTCCATCTCATTGGTGTCATAAACTGTTTTGTTGAAAATTGAGTCAGATTCATCAATTGCCATCGAAACCAATGAACAATTTTCATCATCATTAATTTTTTCCTCAAAAATCCTCGTAGAGCATCACTTAGCAATTCTTGTAGCATCAAATTTTTTGAAAAAGATATCCGTTTTCGCTTTTTAGAAGTTGGAAATAATTTCGGGTCGATATTTTCATTAGACATTATAAATCACAAATTATGAAACAATCAAAAAGCAATAAAACAATTGAAAACAGTGAAATCTTTGTATGCTAACAAACTTTCAGTTGTACAAGTAATGTTTGAAAATAACACAACGGAAAAGTTGAATTCATCTCGCGCCTTCATGGTTACTATGGCAGCTATATTTTGGCGGTCTATCCTAAATATCAAAAAAACTATTACAACACTAACAAATGGTTCTTTAAAAGATTGATTAACTTTTGTGAAGTCAATACAAGAAAATTATGGTCTATTCTAAATTGAGTTCCTTGGTCAAATCTCGTTAACAGCTTTTTACAAGTAAAAGATTTATACATGATCTCAGCTTAGCCTTCAATTTAGTTATGTCAGCCAAAATATCACCTGAAATAAAAAGATAAAAACTATTAACAAAATGTAACAAAATGAACATTCATGTTGAGCGTTAAAATCTTTACAAACCAAAATCTTGGCTTGTGCCTTCTCGACTCTTTTGAATATAATCCAATGTGTCAGCCAATACAGAAACCTCAGCATCTAATCTTTGATATTGTTGTAAGGGAGTTTCAGTGGTTGGTTCACTGATTAAATTTCCACACTCTGAAGAACTGAATTTTTCAAACGATGCCTTGGCATCAATGTTGATGATTTGAATAGATTCATTTGTATCATCTCCTCCAATAGCTTCGGCTATATCAACATTGCGTTTGATAAACTCCTGGTCAGCTCCAGGTAAATCAGGTCAATCATCAGTCCAACGATGTGTTGCAAGGTTATAGCTCATCATAAAATCTAATGTTTGTAAAATCATTTCTGTAGGCCCATAAAAATTTTTAATAGCACTAATTGCTCAGTTTTATATCACTACAAACCCACAAAGTCCCTACTCTTAACTCGAAAGTCAGTTTTTGTCCATAGTTCTTTGAAAAAAGGCTAACCTTAGCATCTTGTCCGATGTATTGGATAACTGTGATCTCGATTTTCATGTTCAATCTAAAAATTCATCAGCAGTTTCCGAAAGACTATCGACTACCAAGGAATGGAATCGCTCTTTTTCTTCGGCTTTTTTTTCTCGCAAGGCAAAAAGTACTGCCAATGGCTCGAACATTTGAGTTAAGAGTTGTCGATGAGAACATAAGTCGCGAAGCTAACAACAGCAATCTGCGAAAGAAAAGTTAAAACACGACGAAATATGTTTAAAAATGTGATTATGATCTTGGGGCTGGTTAAACCAAAGCAAATTAAATCACTTTTACTAAAACCTGGTTGTTGCTAAAAAGGCATAGTTAACCCATTTGAGCACAAATTAAAACAAGTTGACAAAAATGGGCTAAAACACAAATGGGAAATTTATCTGATTGATAGTTTTCGAGAAAATCGGAGTCAAAGTTGAAACTTAGATCACCTTTTGTACAATTACAGACGCAGATTTGATCATATAACTTATTTTACAAATTTAACTTTTGATAATCAACCAGAAAATTTACTTATTGTAAGAAATAAACTTTTCTTTTTCTGTAAAACGGAATAGTTCGATTTTCAGTTAAAGTGATCAGTTTCTGTAACTGTAAGAATGAACGAGCTGAAACTTATTATTTGTCCATATCAAATGTTAACTCACATCTGGGCTTAAATACTTTTAACAATTTATCAACAGTTCTCTTAATTCTGGCCATTGGCCCTAAAATTTGACCCTCAATATCTCGAGAATGGTCAAACCTGCAGTCATCATTCATTCACCAATTTAATCCTTGACTGATTAATAATTCAATCCAATTTAATAGCTTTCCATTAGCGTGTTTGGGTCGTGATATTTTGGTTTTAAATGTACAAGCAACAACTTATTTAACAAACTAAACTCATATTAACCCATTTCTTGGTAAATGAAACAATTTTCTGGTAAAACTTGCAAATGAAAGGCAAAGACTATCGCCAAAGACTCGAACATTTGAGTTATGAGTTGAGACTTGGTGCAGTTTGTAGGGACATGAAGGCTGAGTACATTGGTGCTATTAAATAATTCACCAGATGGACAGTTTTCGAGAAAATCGCTGTCAAAGTTGAAACTTCGATCGCTTTTTGTACGATTATGGCAGCAGATTTTTTCATGAAACTGATTTAACTAATGTAACTTTTGATGGTAATCAATAAAATGGACTTATTTTGAGAAATAAAATTTTCTTTTTTTCGTAAAACAGATAAGTTCGATCTTCACTTAAATCGACTTTTTTCTTTGATCATAAGATTTAGAGAACTGAAACTTATTATACGTTTATTAAAATTGTTGGCACATACCATAGACCGAATAACGTTTTTAATATATCGATAGTTCTCTTGATTTTGACCATTGACCTTAAAACTTTGATCCTCGATATTTCGAGCACGGTAACACCTACGGTTATCTTTCTTTGGCCAAATAGTAGATTTTATTATGAGCTATAACAAGATAAGGCTGAATATCGAATAAAATCCATGCTAATCTATTTAACATTGATTTGTGTTTGTGTGAAAATTTAACTTTATAAACCAAGTAAAATCTGGTAACATAAATAATGAAATGCTATAACTTTTTTCATAGTTTCTTCAATGATATAATATTTCAATATATTTTAGACCACATTAAAATTCAATGTTTGGCCAAAGAATGATAGTTTCAGGTGCTGCTATTCTAGAACTATTGAGGCTCAAATTTTCCAGGTTAATGGTCAAAACTGAGAGAACTATTGAGGAATGAAAAAAGTTATTCAACCCATGATAATGACAAACTGTTTTTATTGACGAATGCTAAGTTTCAGCTTTCTAACTCGCACGGTTATCAAAAAAAGTCGATTTAAATGAAAATCGAACTTATCTGTTTTATGAAAAAAAGAAAATTTTATTTATCAAAATAAGTCCCATTTCTGGTTGACTACCAAAAGTTACCTCGGTGAAATGAGTTTCATGAAAAAATTTGCTTCCATAATCGTACAAAAAGCGATCGAAGTTTCAACTTTGGCAGCGATTTTCTCGAAAACTGTCCATCAAATGAGCTATTTAATAGTACCAATGGATTCAGTTTGCTTGTCCTCACAAAACCCCACCAAGCCGCAATTCTTTACTCGGATGTTCGCGTCTTTGGCGATACTCTTTGCATTTGATTTGTCAGTTTACCCCGAAAAATGGTTTATTTGCCAGAAATGAGTTAATATGAGTTTAGTTTGTTAAATAAGTTGTTGCTTGTACATTTAAAACCCAAATATCACGACCCAAACACGCTAATGGAAAGCTATCGAATTGCATTGAATTGCTAATTAGTCAAGGATTAAATTGGTGAATGAATGGTGACTGCATGTTTGACCATTCTCGAGATATTGAGGGTCAAAGTTTTAGGGCCAATGGCCAGAATCAAGAGAACTGTTGATAAATTGTTAAAATTATTTAACCCATTATGTTAACAAAGCATTTTTGTCGATAGACCCTTAATTTCAGTTTTCTAACTCGCACAGTTATCAAAAAAAGTCGATTCAAATGAAAATCGAACTTATCTGTTTTACCAAGAAAATAAAATGTTTTTTCTCAGAATAAGACCATTTTCTGGTTGATTATCCAAAGTTACATCAGTAAATGAAGTTATATGATTAAATCTGCGTCCGTGATTGTACAAGAAGCGATCGAAGTTTAAACTTTGAACTCGCAAACTGTAAATTTTTGCACAAATGTGATGATCTTGTTTGTGTATTTTTAGTAACAATCTGAATCTTCAACTTACTTGATATTGAACTTGGCGGATAAATGATTACTAATTAATTTCAATTAACTATCAATTTATTCAGACAATTCATGTGATCTGCATAATTATCATTTGAAGTGAATCATTCTATGGATACTCTTCGTTTGTCTCTGAAATGAACTGAATATTAAGTTTGTAATTGTTACTTACATTTTATCCGTCAGGTGACTCTATAATACAGGTCAAAAGTTTTTGGAAGCGCCATAAGCTCACCCTGCAAACCTGTACCACCTTTTTTCTTAAATAAATGGAAACTATATTTTGAATTGGTTTTGGGTAAAGTTACACTGTCTTGAACAAAAGTTATTTAATTTTTGGCAATCTAAAGTATTATGTGATTTATTGTTTACAATTTTTGTTTTTTGTGGCAATTCCGTCTTTAGTTTAGATTGTTTTAAATCTGGGACAAGGCGATATGGCTAGTAGTCTGACTGAGTTCACAAGTACTAACTCAAGTAAACTTATTTTTGAAGATGTGTTATCACCTTTTTTACCCATAGAGATGCTCAACAATGAAAGTGACACCGACTGTCCTGATATCTTCTGTAATTTATTTGAAGAAATTGGACCTTTTCCTGAATCGATGCCACCTCCACCACCTTTGCCGCCCCACTTTATCCAATTCTTAAAAGAAAACCATTCTCTACCCGATCAGAAAATGAATGATTGTAATTTCTGCAATATTTTTAGTGATGTGATGGAATCTGAACTTGTTGCCTCTGAACCAGAATTTAAAACTGATGAATCTTGGTCTTCAACATTGTTTATATCGGTTTTTGGATTGATTTTGGTCATTTTTACACTCATCATCTTTATTAAAATCAAAAAGTAAGTTAGATAAACCTATTCACATGAAAAGAACTGAATTCATAGTGACAAAAAACACTGTAAAATCAGAAGATTAGGCGAAAATAATAATAGTTGTGTACTCAGCATAAAATTGCAATGAGCTTAAAGCCAATAAATTTTCTGATTCTGAATTTGTATCTTTTCCATGTGTTGCCTATAGTCGTTTGAATATAACTCAATATTAAATCAATAAATTTGCTCTTTCTCTTCCAGGTTGAAGCCATTCTCTTCTCAAGATAAAAATCTTTGCCTAAAACAATCGCCGCTTTGTTCACCATCAGAGCACTGTATTGCTCCAGTTATTAATGAAAAATCTCCTCAAAGTGTTATATTCAGTTGTTCAACCAGAACTTCAACGCGAAGTAAATACTGGAGACAGACTAGAGGCAATTCAGACACTATTGGTTCAAAAGTGGACGTTATGGATCATTATTCCAATATTCATGACGGTGAAAGCTGCTTATCTAGTCCGGTGTATGCTGAGCTGGATGCCAATGGTATAGCAATCAACCATGATCAAGTTTCGAGTTCCCTTCTAATGAATGATCCTTCAACTTATGCTCATACTTATTCAGAAATTGCTGAAGCCATGAGAATGGCAACACTCGGCTCATCAACTTTAATTTCCGATGCATCCTACTACAACGTTACTTATTTACCTTATGATCAATATCAAAAACGGCCAATGACAAAGCATCACTCTAAATTAAAGGCCCATGGAAGTGCTGCTCCTTTGCTTGATATTTCTCAACAAATCTCGGAATCTTGCTCAAATTATAAAGCTCATGAACGGTCCCAAGCAAAATCAATTTATAAACCCAATTCATCTCAAATTGACTTGAATAACCATCCACATCAACAAACTGAGACCCGTCAGGAACCTAGTTTCATAAGCCCTTACAAATATGAAGCTCCTCTCAATCCACTGCTATTGCCTACATTTGAAGCTTCTTATGCTTATAATTTTTTAGAACGGCAAAGTCTTAAACGCCCGTTACCAGCTGTACCATAAGCTTTATCCCGTTTTGGACTCAATTATGTATTACCTGCATCTACCTCTCAGCGATCATAAGTTATGAATCTAGCTTATATAATAGTCGCGAATCGCCAGTTCGTATTTTTAATACTACCAACAAATCAACTTGTAACTCGATATCTTTATATTTACTTCATAGATTATCAACAAAAACTGAATTCATCAACTCATTATTAATATGAATACAATAAACTATTTTTACGCTAATTTTTTAGATTGATTAATTTTATAAATAAAACTTTAACATTAGAGTTCAATTGAACACGATATCTGCACAATGCAAGCTTATCTTGTGTTCATATCAAGTAATTCGTACTCTTGAACTGGAACTACCTCTTGAAGGATTGCTACTAAAAAGACAAAATTAACTCAATGGGCAAAAATGGGTAAAATATATTTCCTTCAAGTTTAGATTCTGTTAGTTTGTAGCGGCATGGAAACTGGTCTCATTTGTGCGATTCAAAAATTTCTCTGATTGATAGTTTTCGAGAAAATCGGAGTCAAAGTTGAAACTTATATCACCTTTTGTACAATTACGGACGCAGATTTGATCATATAACTCATTTTACAAATGTAACTTTTGATAGTCAACCAGAAAATTTACTTATTGTAAGAAATAAAACTTTTCTTTTTCTGTAAAACGGATTAGTTCGCTTTTCAGTTAAAGTGTTCAGTTTCTGTAACCGTGCTAATGAACGAGCTGAAACTTATTATTTGTCCATATCAAATGTTGGCTCACATCAGGGCTTAAATACTTTTAACAATTTATCAACAGTTCTCTTGATTCTGGCCATTGGCCCTAAAACTTTGACCCTCAATATCTCGAGAATGGTCAAACCTGCAGTCACCAATTTAATCCTTGACTAATTAATAATGCAACGCAATTTAATAGCTTTCCATTAGCGTGTTTGGGTCGTGATATTTTGGTTTTAAATGTACAAGTAACAACTTATTTAACAAACCAAACTCATATTAACCCATTTCTTGGTAAATGAAACAATTTTCTGGTTAAACTTGCAAATGAAATGCAAAGAGTATCGCCAAAGACTCGAACATTTGAGTTATGAGTTGAGACTTGGTGCAGTTTGTAGGGACATGAAGGCTGAGTCCATTAGTACTTTTAAATAGCTCATTCGATGAACAGTTTTCGGCAAAATCGCTTTCAAAATTGAAACTTCGATCGCTTTTTGTACGATTATGGCAGCAGATTATTTCATGAAACTCATTTCACCGAGGTAACTTTTGATGGTAATCAATAAAATGGACTTATTTTGAGAAATAAAATTTTCTTTTTTTCGTGAAACAGATAAGTTCGATCTTCACTTAAATCGACTTTTTTCTTTGATCATAAGATTTAGAGAACTGAAACTTATTATACGTTTATTAAAATTGTTGGCACATACCATAGACCGAATAACGTTTTTAATATATCGATAGTTCTCTTGATTTTGACCATTGACCTTAAAACTTTGATCCTCGATATTTCGAGCACGGTAACACCTACGGTTATCTTTCTTTGGCCAAATAGTAGATTTTATTATGGGCTATAACAAGATAAGGCTGAATATCGAATAAAATCCATGCTAATTCATTTAACATTGATTTGTTCGTGTGAAATTTAACTTTATAAACCAAGTAAAATCTGGTAACATAAATAATGAAATGCTATAACTTTTTTCATAGTTTCTTCAATGATATAATATTTCAATATATTTTAGACCACATTAAAATTCAATGTTTGGCCAAAGAATGATAGTTTCAGGTCCTGCATTCTCGAACTATTGAGGCACAAAGTTTCCAGATTAATGGTCAAGATTAAGAGATATGTTGAGGAATTGAAAAAGTTATTCAATCCATGATAATAACAAACCCTTTTTATCGACGAACACTAAGTTTCAGCTCTCTAACTCTAACGGTTATTGAAAAAAGTCGATTTGAATGAAGATCGAACTTATCTGTTTTACGAAAAAAACAAAAATTTATTTCTCAGAATAAGACCATTTTCTGGTTGGTTATCCAAAGTTACCTCGGTAAAATGAGTTTCATGAAAAAACACGCTTCCATAATCGTACAAAAAGCGAGCGAAGTTGAAACGTTGACCGCGATTGACTCGAAAACTACCGATCAGAGAAATTTTTAAATCGCATTAATTGATTCAGTCAGCTTGTCCCTACAAACCACTAGACTCTAAATTTAAATAAAAACAATTTCCACTCGTTTAAGCCCATTTTTGTCACTTTGCGTCAATTTTTGCATAAATGTGTTAATTGTGTCTTCTTATTAACAACTCTCTTGAAGTACAATTGCTAATCTGATTGAACAGAGTGAACTGAACTGCCAATACTATTTACTTTATTGGAAAAAAATCAAATTTAAAGATTCGACTATTTTGAGTTCCTTTTGCATTCATAGTGTTTAGGCTCATTATGATAATTTTATAATATTTCATTTATCGCAATTTTTTCATAATACCTAAACTAATAATTTTGACTTCATTGGATCTACAGAGGCAATCTTCATCTCATTTATTTCCAAACTTCATGATGAAGGTCCTCCGACATTAATTCACTGTAAACTTTACACTGTAAACATGATCATGAATTAAGGGACCGTTCATTCAAAACAGTTTTAACTCATATGTGAAGTCACATGTGACAACAAATATTATTCAAATGTTGGTACGGTATAAAAGACAAATAAGAGCAAAAGCTGGGCAAATAGGCAAAAAGGCAAAATAGGCAAAGCTTGCCTAAACTCACGCAATATTAGCTAGTCAGTCACATCAGAAGATATTAGTATTACAATGTACAATTTTTTTCGTTAGTTTAATTATTGTTGTGTTATTTTTTAATTTTTTTATTGTATTAAACCATGAGCTCACAGATTGAATCAGGTAAATTTTTTGAGATAAATAAGATTTCATTGTATTCTTACAAAATTTTGTTTTATTTAATATTTCAGATCGTGAGCTCACGCTTGATAATGAACAAATAATTGAATTATTAGAAAAGGCTGAAGTGAGTGAAACAATGGTACCAAAAGACCCAGAGGTTGATAAGCCATATGTTTTGAAGAAAATTTCCAACGACTACAAAATTGATCCATGGGTTTGGGCAATAGGACCGACGAATAAATTGAAAAATAATTTACTAAAAAATTACAGCTATATTCAAACTGGCCGGGATGGCAAAAAGAAAGTGAGAGATAATGGATTTTCGAGAATTATATTTATGAAGGAAGGATCCAAAAATGTTGTGGTTATTTACAAAGGAGATAAAAGTTTGGGCAAGCTGAGAGCTCACGGTAATTCGAAAAATCGACAGCCTTTTATCCGTATCTCTAAAAGCACAATTGAAAGCCTTAAAAACCAAACTCATGAGGCTTCGGTACTTAAACAGTACGAAGACTGTAAAAAAGATGTAATGGCTGGAATTCCAGATAGTATGGACACTGAGAGTAAAGCAAAATTCTTATTACACCATCTTCCTAGAAACTCTAGACAGGTGAAAAACTGCCGAGCAGTCGTGAGCTCACGCAACATACTGAGCCATGATGATATTTATGCCTGTTATGTGTTATCTAAAACTGAATTGGCAGACGAGGTGTTCAAATTGGAACTAGTGCCAGATTTAATGGTTATGCTTGGCAACCCTAATATTGTGAATTTCGTGAATAGACTTCTAGTTCAGTCTTGTGTTGAAAAACAAATAATAAGTTATGACACCACTTTTAATCTCTGTGACTACTATGTGTCTATTCTTTGTGCGAGAAACACTGAGCTCATAGGCGATCCAATATTTCCAGTTTGTTTCTTGATACACGAAAAGAAGCATGAAGGAGTCCATTCAACATTTTGGAATACATTTGTCAAAGCAAAAATCAATATCAACAGCAAAGTTCCCATAATTACAGATCGAGAAAAGTCCATCACCAATGCCGTGAGCTCATCTGGTTTTGAGTCTAATCACCTCTACTGCTACAACCATTTCATCGCTGATGTCAAATACTGGTTGAGTAAAACCAATGCTCCGAAAAAAGACATAATTCTCTATCGTGGTATGATAGAAAATCTTTTGCTTACCAACAGTGAAGAAGAATTTGAAAATTTGTGTCAAAGTTACAAAAAAACCATGAGCTCACTCTTCAAGGATTATTTTGAAAAGAAACTGGAAAGGGATATTAAAGCAAAAGGTGCCACATTTAACGCAGTCCGTTATCCAGCATTTGTATCAGGTGAAGTTAACATCACAAACAATATAAGTGAAGCCCTCAACAACATGTTGAAGAGTTATCAGTGCGGAAAAAAGAAAAAACTTCCTGAGCTCATGGTAGATCTTGTTCAATTTCAATATGCCATACTGTCAGAATTTAATCGGGCATTGGAAGGCGTTGGAAATTATAAGTTGAAGGAAAAATATTTTGGTAAAGTTGAAAAGATTGAGCACAATACAAATCTCCCAACTTCAACTGTTGCTGATATACTTGCCGTAGTGAAAGAAGCGGGTTGTATTCCTCAAAATTCAGGAGCTCACGAGGAAACGGTTAAAAAATTGGCAGAACAAGCGAAGGTAGATTACAGTAGTGAAATGAATGTATTCACAGTTAAAGGTCCAGTTTCTGGACGTTGCCAATGTGTGGAAATTCGGGACTTCAAATTTTATTGTAGTTGTCAAAGTGGTGCAAAATGTTTTCACATATATGCTGTTGCTATACATATTGGATTGGGCCACCAAGCTGTTGAGAATACACCATACCGAATGGTTAAGATCGAAAGGAAAAACTGCAGGACTGGAGGAAAGAAAAAGCCACGCAAAGAAGACAAGGTTATTCCCTATTTATCAGCTCCTGACAGTGAGCTCACTGTTAAACATGAAGAAGTAAGAAATTCCAGTGAATCTGAGGATACTCTAGATCATGAGCTCACGTTCGGAAATTCTTCCAAAAGCAATGCAAAAACCAAAAAGAATGGTGAGCTCACCGAAAAACAACCAAAATCTGAAGATTGCAGCGATTTTGGAGTAATTTTTGATAGTGAGCTCACGTCGTGTATTTCCAATGAAAATACAGCAAGAGATGGTGAGCTCATCTCCAAACCGAAAGATTCTGCCGATTGTATTGATTTTAATGAGGTTCCTGCTGGTGAGCTCACGTCGTGTATTTCAAATAGAAATACAGCAAAAGATGGTGAGCTCACCGAAAAAGAAGGATGTATATTAGAAATTGAGATTCCAAATGAAGCCCTTTATACTGAAAGAAAAGTCCCGAAAAAATTTAAAATAGAAAATATAAATGTCACTTGCTTACATGGTACGAGATTAATAACCGATAAAATCATTAATGACTTTCTCATACACTACACAAATATCTGGAGAGCTAATGAAGCCATCTTCATTATGGATCCGATTATGTTCTCAGCAGTGAGCTCAGTCAAAAAAATTACTACAAAATCGTCCCTCATAAACCATCTTCATAAGAATGAAGCTTTAAATAAAGACCTACTCCTCGTTCCAATCAATCAGGGTACAAATCATTGGATTCTAGGTGTCATAGCTTGGAAATCGCGTGAGCTCATAATTTTTGACTCGTATTCTTGTTACCCTTCATACGCCAACGAGTTCCTTTCATTGCTTAAAATCGCTGCACTCAGTTATACCTTAGCTGGATTAACATTTAACCCTAAAGAGTGGAGCTATTCAAAAGCCAGTGATGCTCAAAAACAACCGAATGGCTTTGATTGCGGTCTTTATCTCATGTTTCATGCCGCAAGTATCATCAGAAAACGTGAGCTCACGGTGATTTCCTCAGAGTCCGGCAGGAACTGGATAAAATATGTCCTTTCAAAAGCCCCTTTCCCAATAACAAGGAAAGAAAAGCAAAACAAAGTTACTTCTATTATGGCTCAATTTGCTAATATTTGTCTGAGTCAGGTAAGTGAGCTCACTGTCCAGGTACAAGATAAAATTTGTTTCGAAACATTGATTGAATCTCTTTACCATGAAAAACAATATGAAAAATGCAGCAACATTGTATGTTCTTTCCCCACCCATCAAAAATCTGAATCTTGTCTATGTATTTATTGCCGTAAATGGTACCATCGGCATTGTTGTCCCAAAAATTTCAAAGTTTATTTCATTTGCAATAATTGTGAAAAGTTCACATTAATTAATAAAAAATCAAAATGAGCGCGCTCAATAAAATAGAATCATAGAATCCTTGTATTTTATTAAATTAATAAAATTAATTTCATTAACATTATCCCTCAAATTTATTCATCAAAATCAAAATGTCCAAAAAAATTTCTCCCCTAACACCCTATTTACCTCCTCAGGTACATCAAATTTCCTCATCATCATCATCATCTATTCCAGTTTACTCTTTTGAGCTTCCAGCTGATCCCTCCAGAGTACCAAAGGCAGAGCTTAAAAAAAAGCTGGAAATTTATTACTCAAGAATTTCGTTTCCCTGTCCTTATTGTGATTATTTCACTACAAGCTCAAAATACAATATTATTCGCCATATATTTAAGACTCATACTAAAAAAAAGTGAAAAAAATTTGCCCTTTTTGTCTATTTGCCCTCCTTTGCCTTCATTTGCCTCTTTTGCCTGGTGTTTGGGTTTATTTGTCTTTTATACCGGACCTCAAATGTTTATTATACGAATTTACATTCATTGTGTCAATTGGATAATATAGTTCATATATTTGAAATTTAACTGTGCTTAAAGATGTTTACCATTAAGACAATCGTCTCTAGGGCACCACTACATGCTAATCGAGTCACAATTGGGACAAATGTGATTGTTTTGTCTGCATCAGCTGCTAGGTATGTTTGTTTTGACTTGAATCTAAACACCAAAATTCTATTTATTTCAGTAATTATTCTCACTAATTCGATCTTAATAAAACTCTCTTGTTTCTTCTTTATTAGTAACATTGCTGGCGTATTTGACAAATCCAAGAATGAGACGCTTCTACAAGCTCATCTGAAACATCAACCCAATCAGCCTAATGTTTGCGAAAACCAAACCAGAATGTTTGTTTCTGAATTTCACTCAAATGCCAACGATGATGATACTAAATGTGATTGTGAAACTGAAAAGCAGAAACAATTATCCAACATACCAGGATTACCCTACACGTTGGATCATCACAGCTATAATATCATCAACGAAGATATTTATATAAAACATAAGGTTGAGACGTACAATCTTTTAACTTCTAACTTAACAAAAGAAAGTTTTTCTTCTGATGAAGAAAAATATCAAACAAAAACATCCAAAATAATTGAAATATTTTATTCATTGGACGAAAGCAATAGACCAAAAGAATTACGTGCTCATGATATTGACTACATGGTAAAAATGAAAAGGCCTGCTTTAATAAAAAATTTCATGAAAAAACTTGCAAGAACAGAGAGGAGCCGTGAAAAAAGCGAAGAAATAAGGTCAGAAATCAGGGAAGCCATCATGTCAAGACCCAAGGATGGTTTTGGTGTATGTTATGAAGAATCAGGAAAGCCTGCTTACAGAGTTCATGGCGTTTCACCAATCTGCAGCTGGGCTGCTTGTAAACGGATTCGTCAACATCTTTATACTAAAATAGCCCAATCTAAGATTTTAAATGCTCAGAAAGTTGTCATTGACTTTGATTATAACGACCATATGACGCTCAAAGAACACCTAACCATTACTGCTCAAATCAAAATTTGCATTGGATCCTTAAGAAAATCTCGTGAACCTGTTGATCTGTATTTCTGTAATTTTGACCCAACTAGTCCTGTGGCTCGTCTATTGGAATTAGACTTTGGTTCACCTTCCTCTTATCTAGTTGAAGCTACTTCCAAATCTTACTTTGATTTATTTCCAAGGGAAAAATTAGTCTATTTAACTGCCGATACCGACAATGTCCTGCAATATGATCCTGATGATATTTATATTATTGGTGGAATGATTGATGCCCAAACAAATGAGCCTGTTTCAGCGGCCAAAGCTGAGAAGGAAGGATTGCGAACTGCTAAATTACCTTTAAACGAGCATGTAAGGATAAGAAATGAGTTCAAATCTCTGAAAATTAGCCAAGTTTTTGGAATAATCAGTCACCTGAGCTCGACTGATGGTAATATGAAGGAAGCTTTAGAGCAATATATTCCTTTACGAATACAATCAGATGAAGAAGTCGAAAATTTATCTCGTAAACATTCAATTGAGGACGAAAGAGTAAGAAATCATCTTAAAGAAAAATTTAGTCTATCAGAAGAAGAAGTTGAAACTATGATGTTACTAGGTTTGTATTATCGTACCAGTCGTAATGTGTAACAATTGTAATACCATAATTTTGTAGTTTTGTAAAATTAACTTGAAATGTTTTATTTGATTCACAGTTCTACTTGAAACTGGCATTGAAAATTGCTAATAATTAATATTGTAAATTGTCAAAGTTAAAAGGTTAAAAATTATTATTATCATGACTTTTCATTTTCTAAGGAGTTCTCATGCTTTTTAAAAGATGATAAACCAAAGCCTTGTTATTAAATGTTATATCTTGCAATATATTAGTACAGATCAGAAAGTTGTTCAAATACAATTCAAAATCCATATTCAAATGAATTTTTCGGATATTTGTAAGTATGTTGTTAAGATCAAATTAGGTTATTTTAGAGCAAATTAGGTTATGTGCATGATCTCTGAGAGAAAGCTTTTTTTTGTTCTGACGCTTATAACTCAGAGCGTTTCCTTATCTTGGACATCAATTAATTTTTAAGTTTGATGGTTTGACAATCCTTATGCGAAAATTTGATGCACTCCTTTTATTCAGATATAATGATAAATATTACATCTGTATTTTGCATTCAAAACCATCCTGGATTGTTCACTCATCTTTTCACAACACGCTATCTTGCCTTTTGGTCAATATAAACATTTGACATTATTTCGAGTGAATTAGCAGGATAACCATAATCAAAATCAGTGTACATTTTCGGTTTGGGTTCAAAACAGCCAAAGTCAAAACAGCCAAGTCCATAACAGCCAAGTCCAAAACGGCAAAAGTCAAAACAGCCAAATACAAAGCTGCTTAAATCAAATAAAACTACTTAAATGATCAGATTTATTAGGGGCATCAAAAAGTACTTTTGTTTCTTTACCACTGACTTTTGCTTCAATTTTGAATAAGTTTGACTTAACCAATTGACTCAATAATTTTTAGGACACAAGAGCATCTTGGCTGTTTTGACTTTGGCTGTTTTGGGCCTTTACCACATTTTCAGTTGCCTCAAACCACAATCGTAAACTGTTTGACAAAATTGCTGAAAATGCGCGATTCGTGGCAGTTTAATTGTAAGTTTGTTGACGTGAAAATGATTTATTATTCATGTCAACTCATTTTTCATTTATTAATAAATTTACACCTTAGAAAGTAATATGACAACCGGAAATTTGAATACTTTACTCATTCATCAACAACTGAATTTGAGATTAATGTAGTTGACTTTCATTGAAATTTGATCGATAACATTTATCGAGTTGATCAAAAAGGCAGCTTCAGTTAAGATGAGTTGTGACCCATAAATCCAGCAAATGTTGGCATCAAATTGTCCAACAAATATCAGATTAATATTTTAATCGGACAAAATCATTTTTTAATGGTTTCTCGCCTTTCCAATGAATTAATGTTATCTTCAACGATTTCTCAAGTGAATGTAACTTTCTTCATCTTTTATCTTCTTTCTGAAGACAAGATCAAGGACAATTTATATTCTGAATTATCCTAATCATCGGCATCTACTTAAGGTGAAGAAAGACGAATCTTAATTGGTGAAGAGTCGAAAGAAAACGAAAGGTAAATACAAAGTTAACTACAGATCGGAGATTGGAGTTACTCGCACCGTTGATGAAGCATAACAGGAATCTTGATTGTCACTCGTAATGGTGAAACTGTTTTCTCGACAATTAGATCACTTACAATGTAAATAACCTCTTGAGGGAAGCAGGGAGGGATGTGGGAGGAAAGGGGATGTTGTTAATTCACCTTCTCTTCTTTTCTTCTTCAGCTTTTATCTTTTTTTGCACAATAAATGAATTTGCATGTTTACATTAATAGTTTAGTATATAAGCTTTAATTGACTGTTTAAGGCCTGTTAGTTTATATCCATCTTCAACCCAGTCAACACTGAACACACATTTTCACATTTTGTTACACAAAAACAATAACTGGACTTACATCAGTTCAACTCTAGCAAAATGGTTTCACTCGGTTACATTGTTTACCCTTTACTTCTTGTTTTAATCATCATTCACTCAACTCAATCCAAACCTACGGATAAACTCAACAAACAAGGTAAGATTATCATATTTTTCAATTCCTCTGATCTTCACATAATCAATGTTTACTCTTAATTCAATGGAGTTGGTTAATTTTATGTTGATTTGTTTAAGCTACATTAATACAGATCATGAAATTTAAGTATCTTCACCTCTAACCATTTCAGGTTGTAATTTTATTGAGATATTAATGAGGATTTGTACCGATTTAACATGTAAAAGCTGTTATTTAAATCAATTGAAGCAGGAATGATCATTAAAGTGTTCAAAATGGCTCAGACAATTCATTAGATTATTTGTTACATTGTAACTCTCAGTTTGATTAGTTTTGATTGATTTTTATTAATCAATTTTATTCCTCTTTCCCTTTCAACAGTCGGTCCTTCATCAAGACAAGATTATGGAGGTGGAGCTGATCCTCTGATTCCCGAAGAGGAAAGTGAATCAACTGAGGCACCTTTACCAGGTATCATTGGACGAGCTCGTGAAGGCTTGCAAAGATTCAGGGAAAATGCTAACGACTTCTGGGATGGCATTCGAGACCGAGTTAGTGATTGGTTCGATACTGATTAATAAAGGATTAATTAGAGTATTATTATCAACGTTATTGCCATCATAACCCTCATCGCCATTATCATCACAACAATCATCATTATTTACTAAAATACATCAATTTGCATCATTCATTTTCACTCTTTTTTTCTTGGTTACACCAGATCACATTTTTGCTGTTTTACTTCACCAATCCTTAAAATCACATCTTTTTCAAGCTCGGGCAATCAGTTTCTTGGAATCAACCTTTATCATGATGTCAACCTGAACAGCAATCCGTAGATCATCTTATAACCACCAACATCAACAGCAATTCAATAACTATTCCCATGAAAATCAAATAATCTTTTTCTCTTCCCTGGATTGCTCTTGATTAATCTTTACAATTTTACGGTTTATTGCTATGTAATAATTTATTCCTTGATATGAATAATTTTTCTTTCTGTATTTGTCTTAATTGAGGAAACAAGTTATCAGGTCAGTTGCCCGAGAAAAACCTGAATAATTAAACTATTTTGTTGAACAATAACCAAACCATTGAGCATAGTTGCTGCTAATTTCATTTTAATTACTCGTAATATTTTAATGTTATTTAAAATTTGTGTTTGCATGAAAAAAAAGTGAAGTCAAATTACATTTGGATTTAGACCAAAACATTGAAATCTAATCGTTTCTCAAGTCATTCGTTTAATGTGTAAACATGATTATTGTTGAATATATTTTGCTATTGCTTTTAAATTATTACACATTGTCTGGATGATTTAGATTAAGCTTGAATTGATTAGCAAATGAATTTAGCAAATATTAATGTACTGTTAATTGTTGACAACAGTAAACAGTAAATCAGTGAAGCTTCAAATTTTACTCTTCCTTTTAGTTGGTTGCATGATGAAGGATCAGTCATTGAATTAACTAACTGTGAATCAAGTAAAGTGGATGTGAAATTATGAATACACAATTTGTATTTAACATTTACATACAATCTAATTACTCATCCCACCATCATCTTACTCGCAATCGTAAATGATGTATAAATGTGTGAATCAGTCCAAATTGGAATCAATTTTCAATTGAAACCATTATAGTCAACCAAGTCAGGTTAGGAAGAAAGTTTAATTGTCACTAAATCGCTTTGCTTTATTAACACCATTATTATCTTCAATATTAATCATTTTCACTTTTCGATGATCCCTTTGACTAACTCAACTCAATTTGTCAACAAGCAAACAATAATAGAAATATTGTTCAATATAATAATCAAGATAATAACAGTAATACCTGAAAACAAGAACAGGTAACTGGCACCAATTATCAGTAATAAAACAGCTCGGTAATTATTCAATGCACGTATAAATTTAAAACACTTTGGCCACAATCAGTATTGAATTCAAGTCTCGAGATTATCGATATTTTTGGATTCCAGTTAAGATAAATTGTTTTTATAATTAACTTTTTTTGCCTCTAATCCAACATTTTTTTCATCTTTTCAATGTAAATCTTTCGATGACCAATATCATACGCTATCACTATATGGAAACCAGATTCAATGTTGAAAGTGCGCTTGATTAATCTTCTGAAATAAGATATGAAACTAGCCTTCGACTGATATTTTTATTTTACATTAATTGCCAACACTTTTGCATTAAGATTGATTTCAATTAATAAAGCGTTTGTTTTACGGGCTGAGTAAATTTTAAATCTTGATAATACAATGAATTGCCATTTGTTTTGACAAAATGCCGACTTTCAACTATAGTTCGAGTAATCTTATTTTTCTGCTAATTTGACTTTGAGCTTTGAGCTTTTGGACCTTTTTGGGTTTGGCTAACCAATCTTCTGGTTGGTTTTGGGTTAAAACTAATCTTTTTGGTGTCCTTTTGAAGAAAGATGACAGAAAAATTGTATTGACATAGAGTGATTTCTCGCCCGAGATATGACTACAGACTAACAAAGGCGTATAAAATAAATCTTCATGATTATAATTAGATCAAATTGTTTTATCTGAAGTTTTTAAGTCAATCTCTTTTGAAAATGGCTCTTCAGAATAATTCACACAAGAAGCTTTCCCTCCCTTTTCGGTCATGTTTGTATACAATGTTGAAACTGTTGTTTCTTTCACAAATCACTTGTCAGTCTTTACTCGAACCTTGACTACAGCTGTTTAATTTTGAAGTTGTGTTTCTTGTTTTTATCACAATTTTTTGTTAATTTATTACTTTGCATCGCTTTTCATTATTTTTTTAACCAACATGAGTTTTGACATTTTGCCCAATGAAATCATCGTGCACATTTTGAATCAAACATCTTGGATAGGAGACCTCATCAATGCCAGTAAAGGTAAGTTACATTTTTTACAAGACAATATTCATTCATGAAACATTTGATTTTAATGGTTTATCTCTATTCCAGTTTGTCGACGGTGGTACCATATTGTTCAAGATAGATTAGCGCATGTAAAATATTTAGTCTATAAAGCTGCTAAGCTCAGAGGTAAGTAATTCATTATTTTCATTATTTGTTACTATTTTCTTTGATTGAAATTTTTTCTCATAGGCAGTAAACGAGGCAGAACCAATAGATTGTTTGCCGATGGTTTGGACTTTCAAAGAGATGTCCTATTTTACAAGGGATCACCAAAACACGACAAAACCAATTTAGTAACTTGTGTAAAAAATCTACCCAATGTAAATGTAAGTGCCATTTAAGCTTATCATTAATGAATGATTTTCAATAGATGATTCATATGATATTGATCCTAACAGATGGTAGAAGTATATGAATATAATGGAATCGTTGAAAAACTCGTCGAATGCCTTTTTACATATAGACAAGATGTCATAGGAGTTTGGCATCACGATCCGTTTACTGACAAATCAGACAAATTCCGTGTATCGACGGTTATTATAGAGTATGGTCCTTCGCCTAATTTTCAACAGTTGTTGACTGGAAGCGTAACTGTTGAATTAGCAAACATTTTACCCAGATTGGTAAATCTTAAGAGACTGCACATTGATTTTTTCGAACGTAAGTAAACCCACTTTAGTCGCACTTTGAGTACGTCTCAGTGACAAAATATTTATTCAAGATTTATTTTATTATCACAGCAAACTCTTTGGTTGGCTATAATGGACCGCCATTTGAATATATTGAAATGTTAGAGCTTGCTGGATTAGAGCAACTTAATTTATTGGATTTGGTGGACAGGTGTCCAAATTTGAAGAGCATGTCTCTCAATTTTGTGAGATGTTCTGATTTTGGCCTAACCGATACTAAAAATTTGAACCTAGAAAATCTAGTTTTGGAATATGAAGTAAGTATCTTTCAATCTATTAAACCCGCTTTTCATTGAAACATTTCATTCAACTTCAATTTGAAAAAAATATTAACGCATTTATCTTCTCCTTTGAATATTACAGGATGAATCCTATCAGTCTTGGCCAATTCTATTACCCTTTTTGAAGAAGTTCCCCAATTTATCTGCCCTTGCTATCCGTAACAACTCTGCATTTCACGATCTACTTGTACGCGAAGTACTCCATCTTTTCCCCCGTCTGGAGATATTAGATGTTCGTGGATGTCCGCTTACAGATGCAATATTACAGCACATAAATAGTGCTAAAGAAAAGTCAAAAATTAAACTAGACAAATTCATCTGGGGTCCTATTCCTGATGATTACTACTTACGGGAACTATCTGACCCTGTAGTTGATGGCACTGATTTTTTGGAACAAATATTTCCAAACTCTTTTCCAAACATACCAATTTTTCTTCGGCTTGAATCGCCGGAAACTCAGCAAGATTAGGCTGCAATTAAGTGCCAACGACAAGCTATCTGTGATATTTTATGCATTTAATTCATTTAATTTATAATTCAACCATCAATAACTGACAACACCCAAATCAAAAATAATTAACAAATCCGAAGTAAATATTCGCGATAAATTCAGTTTTCAATTTTGAAATAATTATTAAATGGTGACAAATGTCATGTAATTTTTCTCTCGAAAATTATCGATTTTCATTTTTATTAAAGCAATGTTCAAATGAAATGACTTGATATCATTTCAACAAAACAATCGGATGTTTCAATAATCTTTCACTCTCAATGGGAACGAAGCACAACCCAAATTACGACGATCTTGATCATAAATGTTGACAAAGAGTTCAATGTTTGATGGCGATTTTTCTGATATCTTCAAACTTGGATGGATACATCTAATATCGTCTGCTCTTATTTTACATCTGTTATTGTGACAATTAGGAGGCTGTAAAGTATAAGTTGACAAGACTTTTGGATTACCATATTCATAACTGCGAGCTTCAAATTGAACCTGGAAATTGCTGACCGTTTCACCTGTAAAAAAACAAACCATTAATAATGAAAAATTATCGAATCTAAACAAAATTCTTACTTAGAATAATTTCCATTTCAAAATCAAGATCTGAATGTGAGTTAAAAGTACATGGTTGTTGATGACAGCCTAAGATGACGATACTACGAAAGATCGTGTCACTTCTCGGTCGACCTAAAACAGAGAAACATTGAATTTACTTGATATTCTGAAATGTATTTCCTTCATTACTCACCACAATCATTGTATTTTACTTGGATTCCATGGGTAAGAACGAAAAAAGAGAGAAGAAAAATGAAATGAAACATGTTTGTTCAGATTCCAAAATTGGTTTGATAGTTGAACTAAGCTCTTGTTTTGTACTGACTGTAACATATTTCATCGTTTTGAAGATGTTGAATTAACCAGATTTTCATTATGTTAATTAAGACAACAACTGTTAATCTCAATCTAAATCTAATGATATAATTTGAAGTGTATCTAGTGATAATTTAGGGTTAACACTCGATAGGTCATTAATCTGTGAATGTTGAGCCTCATAATAATTCAACAAATGGTTGGCATATTTAATTGAGATCAAAATGTGTAAACCCAATTTTGTCACAATAACAATCTGATAAACCTAAAAGGACAAAAACATTTCTTGTTAGATTAATTTGCCAAACACACTCATAGAGATCAAATTGATTAATTTAAAATGAACAGATCAACTTTATTCTTTATACTCAATGGTTTTCTGGTTTTTGGGTTTGTCAGATCATTGACCATAAAAGACCTGCGACCATGTCCTAACACAGGTAAATTAAAATGATTAACTTTACTAGTGTTGATATTGATTTATTTGTCTTTACCTTCAATTAGCTGCTCCATTATTAAATTCAGTGGTTTTAATCAACTGTACTTCGGAACCATGTTTTTTTGGTAAAGTTAACGGACTCTCTTTTCAATTCATCCTCACCCCAGGCAAGTCTAACCAGAATGATGAAACCTGATGTAATATTTCAGAATTTAAATCTCAGTCTTTAATTTTGTTCCCTTAATTTTTAGACCATCATGCTTCCTCTGTAAACCTTCAGTTGACTGCTGTCGATGGTTATGGTAACAATTATGACATTGATACAGTTCAACGAACCAGTTGTGCTGATAGTTACTGTGAAATGGAAGCCAATGTTCCGCGGTGTTTTGCTGCTGGAGTCCGTCGTCGTTATGCACCCGATAATGATCAAGCCGATTACTTTACCTTTCAAGCACGATTCACAGATTCAAAGGGCTATTGTGTTGCCTGCAGTCGATTTGTATTGAACACATTTATCAGATACACCAGGGAAACTTATGATTATACAACAACAAGTAGACCTTATTATCCCAATCAGTTTACAACACATGGAACCATTTACGGACCGACCACATCTCGTCCAATTTACACAACAAATAGACCTTATGGACTTCAACCAACCCAATCACCGTTCATTGGATCAGAAGCAATTAAACCAATTGGCTCATCATTTTCTTTTGACAAAAAAGAAAACTAAAAATCAGGTTTTGCCTCAAAAAATTAAAATGTTATTATGGCAGTTTAGGAGATTGTACAGTTAAAAACAAATTGTACAACACCTAGACAAATCATCAGCTAATTGGAAATTTAAAATAAAATTCAAGTTTCTCTCTTAAACTGGTTCATTTAATTTCTGTTAATGACCATGATTAGTTCAGTTTAACTTACTCCGTACAAGTTTCCAGTTTAGTTGAAATACATTATGTTGTATTATTAATAAATGCTTTAGCAACATTTTCATTATTCAAACCCAAGTCAGACATCAGGTTTGAAAATGAAGGATTGTAATTTTTTTACAGCCAATAAGTTATTGGTAATAACATATACTTGACAATCATATAAATCACTGATTAATTGATTAGTTGATAAATTTTCTTAGATTTATCTGTGATTTTTGCTTAATCAAACTTGTTTTCAAATAACAAGGGAAAATAACATAGGAAGTTAACAAGTTACGAACACAGTAAAACGTCACAGTGATTAAATCGCGTTAATCAGTCTAACTCTTGCCAAACGAGATAGTCCTTCAGTTAATCGTAATAATCGTGAGTAATAATGATGTAATTGCTACATAAAAAAATAAACTTCTTGAGGCTAGGCAAATGAAATCAAGGTTTGGATTACAACTAAAACCGGCCCAAACGTTAACTGCTGAAAGGTAAATTGAGATGAAGAGTTTGAAAAATAGAAGATGAAAATAAATGAAGATGCAAAAAAGGGAAGATGAAGAGAAAGGTAAAATCTCTTTGTCTTTCAATTTGAAAACCTTTGTAATTGACCTTCAAAAACAAGTTCAAATGCACTTCTCAGTACTTAGCCTGTACCTAATGATTATAAGTCCAGTTTGACTGTTTTGTCTGACCAGTGCAGACAACCTTGTTTTTTATACTATTGTTACAGTTGTCGATGTCAATGATTTGAAGCAACTTGGAGCAATTTTTTTAAAACAATTTGGTAAAAAGAAAAAAATTAACAGATTTAATTTAATTGTAAAAAAAGTTGCAGATAACGAGGTGGAATTTAACAAGCAAAATCATCATTAGCAAATTAAATAGGGAATTAAATTAAAATTAAACAGAATCGATTCAGTCTTAAAACTACCCTTAAAAATACAAATACTGGTGTTCGGCTGTCAATCTTTCTCCTATGAAAAGTTTTCTCATTTTGTGCTTTGTTATTCGATTCGGAAGACTTTACCATGAAATCCAAAGATTTTTAGCAAGCTGATTACAGTTGTACCATTAGTACATTAGAGATCGACAAAGAAAAAAAAAGTTAACTGATCAGTAGTTGGTGTATCATTGATACTCAAGCATATTGTATTTCAGCTTTCCGTCTTTTTGCTCGATGGTCCAAGGAAAATGATGATGTTGGGGAATCTGGTTTGTAATCAGAGAATCTTTCATCGTATTTATCTATGTATGGTTGAACTACTTCTAAAATTTTTCCACTGCGTAGTAACTCAATTGCAGCTTCAATATCTGGAGCCATGTACCTATCTTTATCCCAAGGTCTGAATTGGAAAAATAGCAAAAAAAAGTGTTTACTACAAAATTACTAACAGATAATGTTTGATAAACTTACCGGACAACGTCTCTAACCAATGCGTAAACAGCTTCTAAGGGTTTTGTTGATTTAAGTGGTCTGAGAAACTCAATTGCTTGACAGGCAGCTAATAATTCAATTGCAATTACTCTTTCAACGTTTTCAACAACCGTTAGTGATTTTCGGGCTGCATAACCACCCATGGAAACATGATCTTCAGTCCCAGCAGAGGTAGATAATGAATCTACTGACGCTGGGTGACATAACACCTTATTTTCCGAGACTGGTTTGTTTGATAACGAGGGTGACAAAACACGATCCAAAAGATGATAACAATGAGAATAAACATATAATATTAGTGATAAATTAGATTAAGATCATCTTACAAGATTGATTGTTAGATTAGTGAGGATTTCAATATCTTTATGACACAATTCATATTTTCCGTTATAAGCAAGTTATTTTAGATCTGAATGATAAGTATTAGATCAACAAGGATAAGTTTCTAAAATGTAATACATAATAACATAATTCTTACCCAAAGCTGCGGCAGTACAATGAGCAATCATGAATCCAGAGTTCAACCCACCATTTTCAACCAAGAATGCTGGAAGTCCAGACAAAGCGGGATTAACTAATCGCTCGATACGCCTTTCAGACATTGAAGCTAATTCATGAATTCCTATTGCTAGATAGTCGAGAACCTTTGCAGGATATTCTCCATGAAAATTACCACCAGAAATGATTTCGGATCTTTCGGGAAAAACGAGAGGATTATCTGTTGCTGAATTCATCTCAGTTGTGATGACGTCCTTAACGAAAGAAATGGTATCATGGACAATTCCATGAACTTGGGGGCAGCAACGAATAGTATAAGCATCTTGAACACGATCACAAAATCTATGAGATTCAGCAATTTCTGATGGATGGACTTCTGAATGCAACAATGAACGCAATCGTCTAGCAACCATAATTTGACCCTTGTGAGGACGAATTCGATGAACATCAACGTCAAAAGCACGAGAAGTACCTTTAAGGACTTCAAGAGATAAGGCAGCAACAATGTCAGCTTGTAGAGCAATATTGGATGCCATCTCGACGGCCTCAGCACCAAGAGAAGTTATCAATTGAGTTCCATTAAGTAATGCTAAACCTTCTTTAGCTTTCAAACGAATCGGTCTAAGTCCATGTGACTCAAGGACATGGGCAGCGTCTGCCCAGCCAGTTTTTGGTGACCACATTTTACCCTCACCTAACATACCAAGAGCTAAATGAGCAAGAGGGGCCAAATCACCGGATGCACCGACTGTTCCTTTTTCAGGAACCCATGAAAGACAGGAAGCATTAAATGCATCAATCAATTGTTGCAGTGTTTCTAACGAGATACCCGAATGTCCTTTGGCCAACACATTAATTCTTAAAGCGAGGAGACGTCTAACTCTCTCAGGAGGAAGAGGGTCACCCACTCCAGCGGCATGACTCCGCACAAGATTAACTTGTAATTGTTCTAAATTGTCTTTGGAGATCACCAGGTTAGCGAATTTACCAAATCCAGTATTAACACCGTAAGCAACTTTGTTTTCATTCAAAATTGATTCCAAAAGTTCTCGACCCTTTTGGACCTTTTTAGAAGCCTCAGGGGTTATCTGAATCGTCCAGTGACCAGAACCAATTTCGAGTAAATCACTAGTCGAAAGACTTTCGCCATCTAACAAAACTTCCAACTTCTATAATATGGGAAAACAAAGGAAAAATTGATGAGAAAAGAAAAATAACCGGACCTGTAAAATGATTAAATTCAACAACATGACAAAAACATACCATTTTAAGAGAAGAATGAATAACGACGATCTAACAATCACACAATCACCTTAAATTAACCACTGATAAATCTTTCGTAATTCAGGTAGTTTTTAATAAACAAGATGGCAGATGGCGCAATATTAACAAAGAATCCTTTCGCCATCTAGTGAGATTCGTTGTTAACAAAACTTGAATCATTAAATCATTTACTGTTACAGATTTTAAGTGCAATTTTTATCGATTGATTGATTGATTATTTCGTTATATTAAGCAGTTATTATCAGGCGAGTTCTTATGAAGAATTGGTTTACAATTTTGAACTTAAATGTTGGAAAGTGTATCTTGTGATTGATTGTGATTGCTAACTGTAAATTATCTTCCAAGGAAGCAATAATTTAGCATTTGAAAATTAGTTAACCGGTTAATTTTAACTGTGTTTAAAGCAAATTCATCCTCAACATTTCCTTTTGTTTCTAATAATGTAAATGAAAGTCTAATGCTAATCAGGATAAGTTAACGTGCACCTGAAAATAATTAATGAAATAAATTGTAAGCTTTCAAAGGCTGAAGCGTTTGATTAAATTAAGTTAAGATCAAAACAAAAAAACTGATTTAAAATTTAAAACAAAATCAAATTTTGCTTCTTGATTAGAAGTGCTATTCATGCTTAATCAAGATAAGCCAAAGCTTAGTGCAAAAATATTGGGAAAATTAATTTCAATTATATAATAATTCACAACAAGCGGACGGCTTTCAAATAATAACAATATTTAAGTGCAACTTTGCTAGAATTGTCTAAATTAAGATTTCTTCATCAATCAGTTAACCATCATATTTAAACAATTGAAAAATAGGTTCATAGATAATGTTGCGTTTTTATGAACTGAATAATCTAAAATGGAAACGAGATAAATAGCGAATTGAGCTCAATCAATCTTCAAAGACTAAATTATGACCGAGTGATCTTTTGATTTAACTGCTAAAATTGGTTAATATTAGCATATTTTTGCTCGAAGCTTTGATTGTGACAAAACACTGTTAGGTGAAATTGTTTCACAGGTACTTCAAGCAGAGATTCATGATAATCTAAATAATCATTTTAATAAGAGATTTGTTTTTATACCTTTGATGCAATTTATTTATTCATTTTCATTGACCAAAGTTGACTCAAAAAGCTTGAAGCATTTCTGTACTTTACAGCTTTCCTGTTGATTGTGTCCAAGATGTGATGAAAATAGCCTTGGAATGTTGATTACAATGGTTTATGATTGAAAATTTTCATTTAATTTGGTGCCTTGTTGTAATTGTAAGTTAAATATCAATTGTTTCTAACCACATCCCAACTGTTAAGATATTATATCATGATTCCTGAAATATGATAAAATGAAACACGAAATATAACCAGTCTTCAGCTTTTTCATTCACTCAAAATTAGACAATGATTAAGATTGATTATTTTCTCTGTGAAGCAATTGATCAATGATTGAAGGTAAAATCAATTGATAATCGTGTTTATTTCATCTTCACTATATTATTGAAATACTATTAAATGAATGAGGTAAACCTTTGAGCTTTAATCTATTAAGAGCTATTTCTTATCGATAAGTCAATGTAAGCCTAAAGATTTTATTATTTGACACAGCATCAGTTATCAAAATTCAACCTTTACCCATTTATTGTTCGTGATTAATTTTATTGACTAGATTAACTTGAACCAGTACATGCATTCATTATTGATGCCAATCAATAGCTTTCAATCAGACTATTGGTTGAAATTGGCTTTCATTTTTTTGTTAACTTTTTATCTAATGATGCTAATGATTTTTATTGTTGCCATCGATAACTTTAAACAAATAAATTGAGATTAACTCTGTGATCGATGCGTTCACATTGATTCGTTGTACTCAAGGAATCGCTCCCATGGTTCAATATACCAATAATTGAGCTTGTTTCAAGCTGAAAATGTCGGTTTATTTGAATAAAAAGGATGTTATGCATAAGTTTACATAATGATTTGTTTATGATGGTAATGTTGAGGATTAAAATGATGATTTAATGTGACAAAAAGCATACAAGGGAAAAAAATTGTTGGGTCAGTTTATGGTGTAAAAAATGTTCACTTTTTGAAAATAAAAACTGAAAAACCAAGGCAAGCAGATGATTCAAGGTTAACTTCATTTGATCTTATCTTCTAGTATTTATTACTTGACAAAGAAAGAGAAAGAGAAAGAAAACGGGAGGGCGGAGGATAGTCTCTTTCTCCCCACAACCTTCTCTCTCTCTCTCTCTCTCTCTCCTGTCTGTGGGTAATCACTACTGATCGTCATTTTAGTTCATTTGCCAATTGCTATCTAATTTTGTGACAGCCAGCTATCATTTTACAGTATTTTCCTACTTTACAGTGTCTTTTTTCAATTACGTATTTAATTTTGTGTTTTGCTAAGTGTCATCAACAACATGGCCGATCAAGTCTCTGTTAAATATACACAACTTTTCATTAACAATGAATTTGTTGATGCTGTTAATGGTAAGAAGTTTCCTACCATAAATCCAGCTACTGGTGAACAAATTTGTCTCGTTGCTGAGGGTGATGAAGCAGATATTAATAATGCCGTTGCTGCAGCTAAAGAGGCCTTTAAACTTGGTTCAACCTGGCGAACCATGGATGCCTCTGCTCGTGGAGCCCTACTTAATAAGCTTGCTGATCTTATGGCCCGTGATGCTGATTACATAGCAAAATTGGAGACACTAGATAATGGTAAACCTTACAAATTAGCAATTGGAGATGTTTATGGATCCATCGCTCATTTACGTTACTATGCTGGCTGGGCAGATAAAGTCCATGGTAAAACTGTTCCAATGGATGGAAGTCATTTCTCTTATACTCGTGTTGAGCCTTTCGGTGTTTGCGGTCAAATTATTCCATGGAATTTCCCTTTGATGATGTTTGCCTGGAAAATTGCTCCTGCCTTATGTACTGGAAATGTCGTTGTCTTGAAGCCAGCTGAACAAACTCCACTGACAGCTCTTTATGCATGTTCATTGATTAAAGAGGCTGGTTTCCCTCCTGGTGTAGTCAATGTTGTTCCTGGTTATGGTCCAACTGCAGGTGCTCCTTTGGTAAATCATCCCGATGTTCAGAAGATCGCTTTCACTGGTTCAACCGAAGTTGGTAAACTCATTTTACAAGGAGCCGGAAAAGATTCGATCAAAAAAGTTTCTCTTGAACTCGGTGGTAAAAGTCCATTAGTTATTATGGACGATGCTGATATTGATCTTGCTGTTGCAGTTGCCCATGAGGCTTGTATGTTCAACCAAGGTCAGTGCTGTTGTGCAGCTACACGAACATTCGTTCAAGAAGGCATTTACGATGAGTTTGTTCGTAAGAGCAAAGAGTATGCCCAAAAGCGAATTGTTGGTGATCCTTTCGACGATGCAACTCAACAAGGCCCACAAGTTGATGAAGAACAATTCAACAAAATTCTTAGTTTGATTGAAGAGGGTCAAAAAGAAGGTGCTAAACTTGAATGTGGTGGCAAGGCCGCTGCATCTAAAGGATACTTTATCCAACCAACTGTTTTTTCAGATGTTACTGATAACATGAAGATTGCAGTTGAAGAAATCTTTGGACCTGTTCAACAAATTCTGAAATTCAAAACTTTGGATGAAGTTATTGAACGATCTAACGATACAACATATGGATTAGCAGCTGGTATTTTTACCAAAAATTTAGATACTGCTAATATGTACACTCAAGCAGTCAGAGCTGGAACTGTTTGGGTCAACACTTTCCTCGCTTTTGGTGCACAAATGCCATTCGGAGGTTACAAAATGTCTGGTATTGGACGTGAAGGTGGTGAAGATGGCATCAAAGAATACTGTCAAATCAAATCTGTGGTCATCGCTATCCCACAAAAGAATGCTTAAAAATTTTGTACTTGTCTAACCTAAAAGATTTCAGTTGACCTAAACATTAATTTTAAATTCTATTGTATTCCACATAGACAATTGTCTCTTTTTAACCTTAGCACATTGAACTAAAGTAAAACTTAAAGAGTTGATTCTCATAATTCCTGCAGTGAAAACGGCCGAAAATTGTTATAAAGAAAATTTTAAAGAATAAACTAACATACTATTAAAGAATTATCTTACAAATAAATTATGTTAATTAAATCAATTCTTAGAGATCTTCAAATGGCCAAAAACTCACTATTGTTCAAAATAATTTTCAAGTTGATACAAAGGATTAAGAAGCTATCTGATTTTATTACATGTTTCGATGAGGAGAAAAGTCTAACTTTGAGTCTTATAAGTGAAACTGCAGAATGATAAATTTATTGTTCGTTGTTAACATAAATTTACGTTGCAAATGTATCATGAGAATGAAACTCATGCATGATTGATTTCAATTCAACCTATTGCCATGAATTATCTCTATCAATAATGATGATAACGATGAAACAGTTTCTTTTAATCAATCACGCTTAATCCAAAGATTTTTGAGAAATGCAAATTGTACGACTTTATGACTTTTGCTGAAATGACACAAATCTGCCAAGCATCTTAAATATTCAAGCGCAGGAACTTACGGGCGTTGTTCGCCACTTTAAAATCCGTTGCTAATTAGTCAGTTGAATCAAGATTGGTAAATTTCAAAAACTCAAAACGTACCTGATTTCGATTAACGCGTTTAAAACTTAAAAATTTCGTAGTTCACCACTTCGTATAACTAAAAGTAGTTCGTAACTTTATAATTGAAGGATTGTTATAAATTGATTCCTACCATGAAAAGGGATTTTTTCAGTGCCTGTAATAATTTGAACATCATCTGATGACTTCAGATGATTCTGATAGCGAGGCTACTGCTATTATACCTGATGAATAAGAAATCAATAGAATTTCTGAATTTCTAAATTTATTATCAATTGAAAAGTTTATAGTTTGTTATTATATTATTGAATATTAAAAAAGATTATACCATTTTAGCATAGGTTTCCATCACTCACATTAATCTACAAAATGTATGCAAAAAGCAGCTTTGACAACCCTGTAACTCTTGTACAGATAATTTGCGAAACGAAAGACTAGACCGAAGTTGATATTTGACCATTAGAGTATTTTTAGCTCAAAGAATTTTAAATTTTTTTTTGTAACTCCTGGAGAGTGGTTAGTATAATTACTCACCGAAATTATTTTACAAATCTTGAAAACCACTCAAATTACAGAAATCGAAGGTGATTCTGCTGGACTCTGTAGATGCAGTCAAATTAAAAAAGGAAAGAGTTCAGAGAAAATAAAGGAGAGTGAAGGGTTCATCGGTGACAACTTCAAATGAGCACAAATTTAACATTCCACTCCCATTGAGTCAAACCAACCAACAAAAAGTCACAAGATGACAGTTCCGATAGCTTAGTGGTTATGAACTGAGTTTTTTATTGCCTAGATAAACTTGCAATGTAACCGACTGTTGGACGGAGCTTGCACTTGACTTTGGCAACATTTTATCTAATCTTCGATAATGATATTTTCGATAAGTGCATGATCGATGGTAATCACCTTTCTTTATTATATTTACAAGGAAACTACACGAATTAACCCGAGCCGATTTTAATGAGCGAGTTGTCAATCGATAGGGCCGGTTGTGCTATGAAAAACTTTCGTGGGTTTCATCTGTTTAGGAAATGAGATGTCACCTGAAATTGAAATTTGTGCATGTTTATTAGTAATATTAAAATCGACTCCGGGTAAGTCGTGTTAGCTGACATGATTTTATATTATAATAAAATTAACGAATAAAAAGTTTGAATAAAATTTTTATATCAAAGTATTTATTTAAAAGTTTATATATTATAAAATTTGAGTTTAAGCACAGAAAAAAGTTTAGCAAATGATATCTCAAACAATTGAATCATAACAGTCAGTATTTATGGTGTACCAAACGCTTGTTCATTTTTAACTAGCAATGATTAACAGGCATTATTTTAATAACTAATAAACAGTTGTAAGTTTAAGGTTACAATAACGGTAAACTTGACACAAAGTCAATATGGCTTTTCTTAATGTGTAACCATCGTTTGACTACAGAGATTATAAAGATATCATTGTGATGCACTGGTTTATTGAAATGAATTCAATGACAAGCCAAAGCTTATCATTGGTAACATTTTATCTGATGAACTTTGCTTATTTAACACCAGTGAACGGATAAGTCAATGGAGACTACGCCCGTAATCCATGATTATCATGTTAATCTGTTTTACTTCTGTAAATTGCTTCCAACATTCAATACGTCGATAATTGTGCTGTATGAAAAATATCTATGCATAGAGAAAGTTTGTATCATAATTTGTTTATGATGGGTTTTGCTTTCATATGATAACATCTTCTAATATTCATGTCAGATATTAGATAATTACATGAGTACTTGACATAGGAAGAAATAGAAAGAGAAATGAAAGGGCGGAGGATAGCCTTTTTCATCTCCACAGCTTGTACTCCCTTACCTTGAAATTAATCAAAGCTGAGTAACTCGTTTTGCCAATGGTATATAATGAAAGCCAACTAACATATTCCGTCATTCAACTTCTTGTATTGTCTTCTGTCAACTACTACTAAAACTACTACTGTTTAGTCTAGTATCCTCTAAAACAATATGGCCAATCAAGTCCCTGTTAAATATACACAACTTTTTATTAACAATGAATTTGTTGATGCTGTTAATGGTAAGAAGTTTCCTACCATAAATCCAGCTACTGGTGAACAAATTTGTCTCGTTGCTGAGGGTGATGAAGCAGATATTAATAATGCCGTTGCTGCAGCTAAAGAGGCCTTTAAACTTGGTTCAACTTGGCGAACCATGGATGCCTCTGCTCGTGGAGCCCTGCTTAATAAGCTTGCTGATCTTGTGGCCCGTGATGCTGATTACATAGCAAAATTGGAGACGCTAGATAATGGTAAACCTTATAAATTAGCTCTCGGAGACGTTCATTTATGCATTAATGAGCTACGTTATTATGCTGGCTGGGCAGATAAAGTTCATGGTAAAACTATTCCAATGGATGGAAGTCATTTGGCTTATACTCGTGTTGAACCTTTCGGTGTTTGCGGTGCAATTATCCCATGGAATTTCCCAATGATTTTGTTCATTTGGAAAATTGCTCCTGCCTTGTGTACTGGTAACGTTATTGTTGTGAAACCTGCTGAACAAACACCACTGACAGCTCTTTATGCATGTTCATTGATTAAAGAGGCTGGGTTCCCTCCTGGTGTAGTCAATGTTGTTCCGGGTTATGGTCCAACTGCAGGAGCTCCTTTGGTAAATCATCCTGATGTTCAGAAAATAACTTTCACTGGTTCAACCGAGGTTGGTCAACTCATTTTACAAGGAGCCGGAAAAGATTCCATTAAGAGTGTATCTCTTGAACTCGGAGGTAAAAGTCCATTAGTTATTATGGACGATGCTGATATTGATCTTGCTGTCACAGTTGCACATGAAGCTTGCATGGCAAACCAAGGCCAATGCTGCTGTGCAGCTACCCGAACATTCGTTCAAGAAGGTATTTATGATGAGTTTGTTCGTAAAACCAAAGAACTTGCATTGAAACGAGTTGTTGGCGATCCTTTCGACGATGCAACTCAACAAGGTCCACAAATTGATGAAGAACAATTCAAAAAAATTGTTGATTTGATTGAGTCAGGTAAAAAGGAAGGTGCCAAACTTGAATGTGGTGGTAAAGTTATACCATCCAAAGGATACTTTATCCAACCAACTGTTTTTTCAAATGTAACCGATAACATGAGAATTGCAGTTGAAGAAATCTTTGGGCCTGTTCAACAAATCTTTAAATTCAAAACTTTGGATGAAGCCATTGAACGTTCTAACGATACAACATATGGATTAGCAGCTGGTATTTTTACCAAAAATTTGGATACTGCTAATATGTACACTCAAGCAGTCAGAGCTGGAACTGTTTGGGTCAACACTTTCCTTGCTTTCGGACCTCAAACACCATTTGGCGGTTACAAAATGTCTGGTATTGGACGAGAAAGTGGAGAAGATGGTTTACATGAATACTACCAAATCAAATCCGTTGTGGTAACGATTCCACAGAAGAACGCTTAAATTGTTTCTATTCGACTGTAGATAAAAGATTCGATGTCCTAAACATCAATACTGAATTACAATATTCAATTGTTCAATGTTTATACAATAGTGAATCATCATTAGTCTAGATGTGCATACAAATTGTCAATTTATCCAAAGTATGAGCATTCACAACCTAAAAATCAGATTTTCTTTGAAAAGATAAAAATTTAAGCTCAAAAGCTATTAAAATGTCAAGGATTTATTCGTAACAGTAATTTTTATTGTCTTCAGCAAATAAATCTGCAAAATATAAAATATAAACGAGTATGATTTTTCTATTGAACATTTCATATTTTAAAAATTGGTCAGGAATTTGCTTTTTGTGCATCCAATTTCAGAGTCTGAAATGTTATGAAAACTTTAGATGATACTCTTTATAAGATAAGGATACAATTAATAATCGTGTTTTAGAGCGGTTTCGTGTTTCTAATAGATCAATCGCGTGAAAGTCATTAGAGTAAAAACTTTTTTTTGTTCAACTAGGTAAAGATTTGAGCAATATTTTATTATGAAATGTACAAAAGTTGTTAAGTAATTAGACAACATCATTCCGAGGGCCAAAGTTGCTCCAGGACTAGTAACATCGGAATTAACATAATCTCCTTCCCTGATTTGGTAACTTGGAGTTTTATATTTTTCCTTTTGAGCGGCAGTTAACGCTCTTTTATGACCTCCAATCATATAGTTACACATCTCATCAGCCATGGAAACACCTTCAGAAGAAGCAACTGTGGAAATCATTTCATTACCTTTACCAAGTGTGACTAAACCAAATGCAAGTCCAGCAGCTAAAGCATAACTTTCACGATCAATGTAATGTTCCATTTCTGGTCCAGGAGGACGACCAATTTCACCGAGAAGCATTTCAGCGATATGGCGCTGACCTGAACCCTGATATAAAAGACCAACACCGAGAATAGCAGCAACTTCGACAACAGGAGGCACATCTAGTTCAATTGAAGATGATGGTAAAAGAGCCTCAACATGAATTGAAAGTATCCTTTCAACACTTATGTCCATTGTACCTCTTTTAGCAGCAGCTAATCCTAAAAGGACAGCTACACGAGTCAATTCATTTCCTTTACATAGATAATCGTGAATGTTCATTGTCGAAAGCTTGGAAATGTTTGTATAAATGACTTGAAATGATCTCACAATCGTCAAACGTATTCCATCGGGTTGTTAATAAAAAGACAAAATTATCACATTTATACACTTAACATAAACTTCTTTGCAGTTTAGACTCTGTTGGTTTGTAAAGACATGAGTACTGAGTCCATTTATTTGTTTTAAAATCTCTCTGATGAACAGTTTTCGAGAAAAGCAAGCTCAAAGTGGAAACTTCGATCACTTCTTTTACAATTACGGAAGCAGATTTGATTATAAAACTTCCTTTTACTGGTGCAACTTTTGATGATGAACCAGAAAATAGGCTCAATTTGAGAAATAGAACTTTTCTTTTCCTGTAAAACGGATTATGAATAGTTCGCTTTTCAGTTAAAGTGATCAGTTACTGTAACTGTAAGAATGAACGAGCTGAAACTTATTATTTGTCCATATCAAATGTTGGTGCACATAATGGATTAAATACTTTGAATAAATAAACAACAGTTCTCTTGATTTTACCTCCTTAGTCCTAACACTTTGACCATAAATATCTCGAAAATGGTAGCACGAACAATCATCATTCTCTCACCAATCTAATCCTTTACTAATTAAGTATTTAATTTCATTAATAACTTGCCATTAGCGGACTTGGGTCATGATATTTGGGTTTTAAATGCACAAGTAACAACTTATTTAGCAAACCAAACTCATATTAACCCATTTCTTGGTAAATGAAACAATTTTCTGGTTAAACTTACAAATCAAATGCAAAGAGTGCTGCTAAAGACTCGAACATTTGATTTATGAGTTGAGACTTAGTGAAGTTTGTAGGGGCATAAAGGCTGAGTACATTGGTGCTATTAAATAATTCACCAGATGGACAGTTTTCGAGAAAATCGCTGTCAAAGTTGAAACTTCGATCGCTTTTTGTGCAATTATGGAAGCAGATCAAACCATGAAACTAATTTTTCTGTTGTAACTTTCTATGCTCAACATGCGAATACATTTTATTACATGATATGAATTTTAGTATTTCTGTAAAACAGATAAGTTCGATCTACTTTTAAATCGACTTTTCTCTTTGATCATACAATTTAGAGAATTGCAACTTATTATTCGTCTATTAAAATTGTTGGTAAATACCATGGACCGAATAATTTTTTCAATATTTCGACAGTTCTCTTGATTTTGGCCATTGGCCTTAAAACTTTGATCCTCGATATTTCGAGTATGGTAACTCCTACAGTCGTCATTCTTTGGCCAAACAATAGATTTCATTATGGGTTATAACAGTATAAGACTGAATATCGAATAGAATCCATGCTCATTCATTTAACATTGATTTGTGTTTGAGTAACCATTTAACTTTATAAACCAAGTAAAATCTGGTAACATAAATAATGAAATGCTATAACTTTTTTCATAGTTTCTTCAATGATATAATATTTCAATATATTTTAGACCACATTAAAATTCAATGTTTGGCCAAAGAATGATAATTTCAGGTGCTGCTATTCTCGAACTATTGAGGTTCAAAGTCTTTAAGTCAGTAGTCAATATTTAGAAAACTATTGATGAGTTGAAGAAATTATTCAGCACATGATGTGAACAAATCATTTTCATTGACGAATACTAAGTTGCATCTCTCTAACATTTACGGTTATTGAAAAAAGTCGATTTAAATACAGATCGAACTTATCTGTTTTACGAAAAAATGAAAAATTTATTTCTCAAAATAAGACCATTTTCTGTTTGGTTATCCAAAGTTACCTCGGTAAAATGAGTTTCATGAAAAAACCTGCTTCCATAATCGTACAAAAAGCGATCGAAGTTGAAACTTTGGCAGCGATTTTCTCGAAAACTGTCCATCAAATGAGCTATTTAATATTACCAATGGATTCAGTTTGCTTGTCATCACAAAACCCCATCAAGTCTCAATTCTTTACTCGGATGTTCGCGTCTTTGGCGATACTCTTTGTATTTGATTTGTAAGTTTAACCAGAAAATTGTTTTATTTGCCAAAAATGAGTTAATATGAGTTTGCTTTGTTAAATAAGTTGTTACTTGTACATTTAAAACCCAAATATGATGACTTAAAAGCGCTAATGGAAATCTATCAAATTGGATTGAATTATTAATTAGTAAAGGATTAAATTGGTGAAAGAATGATGATTGTTAGTGCTACCATTCTCGAGATATTGAGGCAGAAAGTTTTAAGGGAAATAGCCAAATCAAGAGAACTGTTGTTTAATTGCTAAAAGTAATCAATTCATGATAAGAACAAACAACTTTTGTGGATGAATAGTAAGTTTCAGTTCGATAACTCTCGCGGCAACAGAATGGAATCGATTTAACTGAAAATCGAGCTAATCTGTTTTACAGAAAAAGAAAAGTTCTATTTCTCAAAGTCCATTTTCTGGTTCATCATCAAAATTTTCACCAGTAAAAGAAGTTCTAACCAAAAGTTATAATCAAATCTGCTTCCGTAATTGTACAAGAAGCGATCGGAGTTTCAACTTTTAACTTTATTTTCTCGCAAACTTTGAGAGATCAGACGCAAATCAGAGAAATTTTAAATTCAAATAAATGGCCTCAGTTCTTATGTATTTACAAACCAAAAGAGTCTAAACTTGAAAGAAATTTATGTTAAGTGTATTAATGTGAAAATTTTGTCTTTTTATTAACAACCCGATGGAATAAGTTTGACGATTGTGAGATCATTTCAAGTCACTAACTTCATTCATACAAACATTTTTTCTTACAAAACTTTTAAACCATCATTAAAACTAACCTAAGAATAGCGCATTGACTTCTAGAGTGTATCAAAGGTTCATTCCATTTTTAAATTAGCAATGGTTAACAGGCGTTATTACTTATAAACAGTCGAAGAATAATTTTTAAGGTTACAATAACGGTAAGTTCAACTTCACGCAAAGTCAATATGTCTTCCTAATGTGTAGCCCTCGTTTAATTACAAATATTATAAAGATGCTGAGAATATTATTGTGATGCACTGGTTTATTGAAATGAATTGAATGACGACCAATAGCCTATCACTGGTAACATTTTATCTGATGAACTGCTTTGCTGAGTTCATTTTCACAAGTGTTTCCGAGTAATTCAATGTAATCGATGATGATTAAGTTAATCTGATGTACTCTTGTAAACTTTTCCCAACATTCATTGCATCGATAATTGTGCCGTATGAAAAATGTCTATGCATTGAGAAAGTTTGTATCATAAATTGTTTATGATGGATTTTAATTTCATATCATAACATCTTCTAATATTCATTTCAGATATTTGTTTATTACATGTGTACTTGATGGGAAGAAATAGAAAGAGAAAAGAAAGAGCGGCGGATAGCCTATTTCATCTCCACAGCTTGTACTCCCTAACCTTGGGATTAATCAAAGCTGAGTAACTCGTTTTGCTTTATTTGCCATTGGTATAAAATGAAAGCCAACTAACACTTTCCGTCATTTAACTTTTTTGAATTGTCTGCTCTCAACTACTTCTGCAGTCTAGTATCCTCTGCAACAATATGGCCAATCAAGTCTCTGTTAAATATACACAAATTTTCATTAACAATGAATTTGTTGATTCTGTTAATGGTAAGAAGTTTCCTACCATAAATCCAGCTACTGGTGAACAAATTTGTCTCGTTGCTGAGGGTGATGAAGCAGATATTAATAATGCCGTTGCTGCAGCAAAAGAGGCCTTTAAACTTGGTTCAACCTGGCGAACCATGGATGCCTCTGCTCGTGGAGCCCTGCTTAACAAACTAGCGGATCTTCTGGCCCGTGATGCTGATTACATAGCAAAATTGGAAACTCTAGATAATGGTAAACCTTACAAATTAGCAATTGGAGATGTTTATGGATGCATTAGTGAGCTACGTTATTATGCTGGCTGGGCAGACAAAATTCATGGTAAAACTATTCCAATGGATGGAAATCATCTCGCTTATACTCGTGTTGAACCTTTCGGTGTTTGCGGTGCTATCATCCCATGGAATTTCCCAATGATTTTGTTCATTTGGAAAATTGCTCCTGCCTTATGTACTGGTAACGTTATTGTTGTGAAACCTGCTGAACAAACACCATTGACAGCTCTTTATACATGTTCATTGATTAAAGAGGCTGGTTTCCCTCCTGGTGTAGTAAATGTTGTTCCTGGTTATGGTCCAACTGCAGGAGCTCCTTTGGTAAATCATCCCGATGTTCAGAAGATTACTTTCACAGGTTCAACCGAAGTTGGCCAACTCATTTTACAAGGAGCCGGAAAAGATTCCATTAAAAGTGTATCTCTTGAACTCGGAGGTAAAAGTCCATTAGTTATTATGGACGATGCTGATATTGATCAAGCTGTTGTAGTCGCTCATGAAGCTTGTATGGTCAACCAAGGTCAGTGTTGTTGTGCAGCTACCCGAACATTCGTCCAAGAAGGTATTTATGATGAATTTGTTCGTAAAACCAAAGAACTTGCATTGAAACGAGTTGTTGGTGATCCTTTCGACGATGCAACTCAACAAGGTCCACAAGTTGATGAAGAACAATTCAACAAAATTCTTAGTTTGATTGAGTCAGGTAAAAAGGAAGGTGCTAAACTTGAATGTGGTGGTAAAGCTATCTCATCTAAAGGATACTTCATCCAACCAACTGTTTTTTCAAACGTAACCGATAACATGAGAATAGCAGTTGAAGAAATCTTTGGACCTGTCCAACAAATCTTTAAATTCAAAACTTTGGATGAAGCTATTGAACGATCCAATGATACAACATATGGATTAGCAGCTGGTATTTTCACCAAAAATTTAGATACCGCTAATATGTACACTCAAGCAGTCAGAGCTGGAACTGTTTGGGTCAACACTTTCCTCGCTTTCGGACCTCAAACACCATTCGGAGGTTACAAAATGTCTGGTATTGGAAGAGAAAGTGGAGAAGATGGTTTACACGAATACTGTCAAATCAAATCCGTGGTCGTAGCTATCCCACAGAAGAATGCTTAAGATATTTTTATTTGGCTAAAGATAATAGATTCTATGTGTATTTTGATAAAACTTGATATGTATTACCATAAAATCTTAAGGATTTATTACTAACAGTTATTGTTTGCAGTAAATAAAACCGACAAATATTCATAACTATGATTTGATACTTTTTATTGAAAAAAAACATTTAATCATATATTCCAAAAATTGGTCAAGAAATATTTGTTTTTTATACATCGGATCGCAGAGTTTTGGTTATAAAAATTTTTTATATAAATACTCTTTAGACGATTAGGATAACTATCTAAATAATAGGGAATCGTGTGATCAAATGCTATACTTTGGCAGTTTTTTACTAATTATTTTTGATCAGTTGCAGAAAGAATAACGAATCGTGTTTTAAAGCAACTCCGTGTTTCTATGAGATCCAGATCAATCACGTAACAGGCAGTAAAATTTAAATTGCTTAACTAGGTAAAGATTTGAGCAATATTTTTATTATGAAACATACAAAAGTTGTTAAGAAATTAGACAATTTTTTGACAACTCAGTTGGAAAAAATTTTAGATAACATTAATAAAGAAGTATTTGACAAATTGAAATGCTGAATATTCAATAAAACATCTGTAAAAGAGATTTTTCCTGAAAAAAAAGAAAAGAAAAATTAAAGTTGATTTATAAAGTGGGCAAAAGATTAAATTTCATTGTGAATTTGAGATTCATTAAGTACAAACCTCGTAAAGGTGCTAAAGATGCATAAGGAGGTAATTGATAGAAAATTAAAGCCGAGTTTATCTGAGTATCCATCTCTGATAGATCTTTCTCTCCTCTCAAATAACTTATCAGTGAAGCTTTATCCATACCTGAGAAGCAAAACAAATAACAAGTTAAATTGTTAGTAATGATACATTTGATATTTTGAAATGAAACACGTAAAATCATGAAATGTCCGACTTACCTTTCATATTGTTTTCTACCAAAGTTTTCAATGCCTCAAAAAAGTCCATTTTAATAAAATCACACTTGGGAAGACAATGAACTAACAGACGAACTTGAATCAAATAGAAAGGAGTCATTTTTTCAGATTGATTTATCATCTTTAAAAAGTGCATAATAGATGGTAAACATTCGACAGTTTCGTTTGATGCACAATGAAACAGGACGGCAGATAAGTGATGCTGGAACAAAGCTTCACCAGGCATATTTGACTTTGGAGTTAAAAGATATTTTGTGTAGTTTATAACTAGTGGGTTGCTTGAGAATGATTTAAGCATATCAGGCTGTAAATAAAAGATATACAAAATTAAAAAATGTTTTGATGAAATTAATGATTAAATATACCTTATAAGTCCAGCCTCTCACAGCATCCTTCATGACACATTGAGCGTGAATGCTCTTGTACCCTTGAGGGTCTTCTTTGTAGGGTAAGCAACCAACTTTTTGTTTGATGAACAGGATTCCATTTCTTTTCAACATTGTTCTGAAAAAAGATTGAATGGATATTATTTTAATATACTTTCATAATTGATGAATAGCAATTAAATACTTGGCTATACTTACATCAAATTACTCCAATTCAGATGCCTATCAAATGAAATCTTCCAATATCTTTCATCTTCTAGAGTCACTTCTTCCAATAGATCCATTTGTGGCAAAAAACAGGGTGCTTTAAGGCGTAAAACACTTTTATCTTTCAGTTTTAAAGCTAAATGTGCATAAACTAATCTATTGGTGTCGATGTCGCGAGGTAAGACTAATCTTGGTTCAGCTGCGAGAACATAAAGATGTCGGAAAGCTTGAAGGTGATAACGATTGTCATTACTATGGATAGGGTATTTTGGGAAAAAGGCACAGATAAGAGCAGCAATTGATTCTGGAGATGAGCTTAAAGTGTAACGACATCCTCCAAGAAATAGCAAACCCAATGCCATATGTGACGCCATATGAGAACCATAAAGAACAACGTTAACTTGAGATATTCTTGATCTAAGATAACGGCAAATTCTCATTATTTCAACATTGCCAGTTCCTGCCATAATCATTGCCAATGAGATAATAAGGACATTGAGACATGATTCTATTGTACTGCGCCCAGCTTGTTCGGCCAAAACTTGTTCGTTGGGAAGATTTATAAAAACATTTACTAATGAAAATATTGAATCATATGCTTCCTTATTGGCAGATCCAGCATATTTCAAGCCCACTGCCATGCAAGCACCAGCAATTATATTACAATAAGCCTGACTCATTGTTTCATAATCGATACGGGAGTTATAATCAACCTCCTTAACCAACGCATTATCAGATACGATCTTGGGTAAGTGAGAATCAATCCATGCTCGTGTTGGTTTGATTGAGCCCCACATAATTAATCCTTTCGCTAAGGTTCTAAGTAGAAGAAAGTCTGGACGAACTGATTCTAATAGATATTGAGTATCTGGTGCCGTAACCCATTTGGCAACTGCTTCATTGTTGGTGTCAAAAAACATCATTCCGAGGGCCAAAGTTGCTCCAGGACTAGTAACATCGGAATTAACATAATCTCCCTCCCTGATTTGGTAACTTGGAGTTTTATATTTTTCCTTTTGAGCTGCAGTTAACGCTCTTTTATGACCTCCAATCATATAGTTACACATCTCATCAGCCATGGAAACACCTTCGGAAGAAGCAACTGTGGAAATCATTTCATTACCTTTACCAAGTGTGACTAAACCAAATGCAAGTCCAGCAGCTAAAGCATAACTTTCACGATCAATGTAATGTTCCATTTCTGGTCCAGGAGGACGACCAATTTCACCGAGCAGCATTTCAGCGATATGGCGCTGACCTGAACCCTGATATAAAAGACCAACACCGAGGATAGCAGCAACTTCGACAACAGGAGGCACATCTAGTTCAATTGAAGATGATGGTAAAAGAGCCTCAACATGAATTGAAAGTATCCTTTCAACACTAATGTCCATTGTACCTCTTTTAGCAGCAGCTAATCCTAAAAGGACAGCTACACGAGTCAATTCATTTCCTTTACATAGATAATCGTGAATGTTCATTGTCGAAAGCTTGGAAAGGTGTCCATTAAGTCCTAAAGCGAATAGAAAACCAGCATGCTCATTTTGATTATCATTAGACAAAGAATTGCTCTTAGTCTTGTTGTAGGTTATCCAATGAGAGTCTATAGTTTCGGAGGCACTTGGACAAACTTTGAGTCCGGCAGCGACTCCATTGTGAAAAGATGGCCAAACATTCATATTGCTGGGGATATCAATATGCGCTAGTTCAATAATAGTGTTTCGAGGAGGCACTCGTCCACCAAGGCACAGTTTAGGAATATGGAAGGTTTTAGCAACGACAGGTTTAAATGTACGCAAAGTCAACATTCCTCTTCCGATTGGTAAAGCCATAGTTCGAATACAAAGAGTATAAAGATGTCTTTCTTGTTCTTCGATGAATTCATTGTCTGAAACACCAGGTCTTTGTTGAATAGTGATCGAAACTGGTTTTGATGACTGTAGCATTTCGTAAGCTTCGTCGACTCTTTGATCTTCAGGAAACAGCAGAGATAAAGCTTCTCGGTTCAACCCACAAAGACCATCTTCATCATTGTCAATATTTAAAACTTCTTTAACTACCAGTGGATATTTTGGACCTTTAGCCCCACAAAGACTGGCAAGATCTTCTCGCCCTATTAAAGTATAACAGTCAGCATTCCACGTTACCGGTGGATCAGGCTTACAGTGAAAGATAGCACTCCAAAGAGGAAGTACTAGACCTGGTGGAATACATTTGAGATCATTTTGAGTCATTCCTAACTTATTCATACAAACAATTATCCTCTCTTGTGCAGATCCTTGGAAATTAACTTCTAAGCCTACGTAACGTCCATCTTGTCTCATATGATTAACTGGAGATAGAACCATGCTTTCATTTAAATTTTCGACCATGAAACACGAGTAGATCAAAACTAACCTACGAATAGATAAGGTAACTTCTGGAATGTATGGAAAACAGTTTGTTACATTGTTAGTTAGCAATGATTGTAGATGGTTGTAAACAATAGAGGGAGAGTCTGTGAGAAAACTTGGATGAACTAAAGATTTAAAATCTTTCTTCGTGATTCGAGGAGGACAATTTAACAAAGAACAGGCATTAGGGGCCATCCTCCAGTAATAATCTTGGTAAGAGATAAGTTTAAGATCACTGGCAATCATGTAAATGATATCACATAGTTGAGGAGCATAGTCTTTAAGTAAAATATTCAATAGAAGTTCTTCGTGAATAAGGTGCAAACTGAAAAGAATCGACGGAAGATATGGAAAAAGAGGATTTGAAGGGTTTATTGGTTTGCAAATATCTGCTGCTGAACGACGAATAAAAGTTCTTTTAGTTGATGATGGTGAATTAGATAGTAACCAATACCAATCTTCATCGGAACCTCTTTCGTCGGATTCCATCTTTGACTTTTTGGCAGATGATGGTGATATCGTGCTATAAAAGTCCATATCAAAAGCATTTGGATCGAGATCATAACCAATCAATGACAAAAGACACAATTTGAAAAGATCTAGTTCTTTTTCTGGAGTGAATTCATAGGTCCCAGGTGAATTTCGAAGTGAATACCATTTTATTACTAGTTGGATTCCTATGTCACGGGGAAGAACTGCTTTTAGTGCTTTCAAACAAAGTTCAACTATGCTTGAGGTTGCAATCGGCGGTAAAGATAACCTAAAGTTAATGCTATGGTTGGTTTCGATTGTGATGCGATTTTTAACATTATCTTTAACAGCGTTTATCGTAGCAAGAGATTTATACGAAAATGTAGTTAAACTGGATTCCGGATCGAAAACTGTTGAACTACTTTGATCATGGAGAACTGGAGAAAGTTCATCTTCAGCTGAAAATCTGGGCTGATGGCTCAAAGAGCTTGAGGGTCGACTTGAAGATGTAAGATTGCCTCGTCTCATGACAGTTTGTTGCATTGAAAAAGATTTAGAGGAAGATGGCGAAGTTACTAAGCCAGATGTTGGTGAAATAAGGAAAGGCACATGAACTGCACTGACCTTATTGGTACCACTGTAAAGAATAATGTTATTGAGTGGATCTAACACGCAAATCATGTTCAAACTTTCAATAGGTTCAGCGTCTTTTGCACTAATTAAATTCAGTGGGCCGAAAATAATGCGTTTTCCATCATTACTTGAATCAAAACGAATGAGTTTCAATTGTTGTTGAGGTCCCAAAAGATAAGACATGAAATTTTGACCCATGAGATCCGCAGCAATAAAAGCTTTTCGTGTTTTTCCGGTAAGACCATGAGCAGGTTCACTCCATATATGCTCTATGCAGACTTCGAGTAATATTGGAGTATCGATATCATCAAAAAAATCCATAGCAAGAAAAGACCTTGCTGGAGTTGAAATACGTTCTAAGGGAGATGCTATTTCTGGCTTTACCGTAGAAATAGAAGGCTGATTAATCTTCGAAGTGGTAGGAGTTGAATAGCCTCGATGTACCATAGGCGAAGCTGGTGATGCGCCTAATCGACTAGTTCTTAAAGGGGAGAGAACATGAGGTGAACAACAAGGCGAACTTCGATCTTGATTGATTATAGGTGAAGACAGTTTTCTGGACGAGATGTCACGAAATGGAGAAGAAATATTTGAAGGAAAAAGGCCGGTTGATTGTCTCAAACTCGAGACCAAAGGTGAATCGATGAATGAAGAAGAACGGGACATAGGATCAATACTTGATCGTGAACAGTTATTACTCGTTATAGTCTCAATTTCGGATTCTAAAGCTTTACGAAGACGCCAGACGCTATGAGTCCCTTCTGTTTTGTGGTAAAACAAACAAAGATTTGTTTTTTTGTCAAAGAACACTAGTTCCAATCTGTTGGACATAGTTAGATAAGTAAGAGAGTTATTGTTAGTTGGCACTGGTTTGAGAATAACTGGACCAATATCTTTGAATGGGTGACCTAGAAAATACAGAATAGGATAAGATGGGTAAGGCGAATTGGAATTTGTTTCATTTGACTGAGGAACTCTCTCCAAGAGTAAGCCAAATTTAGTGGGTATCAGTTTGGAAACCTGCAAAGAACGAGAAAATATTTTAGCAATAGAAACACGTTTAACGGTGATAAATTGATTTGCTATCGCTTAAAATTACCTGAAATGGCAGAGTAATCGGATAATTATCTCCTTCTTCTGAAAATATTTCCAGGTTTTTATCATCAATGGCACATATACATTCAATAGTTGTATCCTTCGTTTCATCGTAAAAACAGCACCATGTAGCTTGTTGAACTTTTGATTTTAAGGTAAAACTCCGAAGCAATCGACAGCCGGATTCGCCATCGGAGACACTATGTACAACTACATTATCACATGTATACAATTCTTCTTCACCGGCATCAGAGCCTCGAAGTATCCATTTTTCAACCTAGGAAAAACATACAAGCCAATCTTGGTAAGAATTGAGTAACTTATTGGTTACAAATCAGCAGACTGATACCACTGCTGACAACTATAAAACAAAGCAAAAACTCACGGCTGATGAATCCTTTAAGCTGACTGAGTCAATAGAAAGAAAATTATCTCGACTTGGAGCAGTTTCAACGGAACTAAAACCAATATCACCTTTACCCGATGGAGCAGCATAATGTTGTTTTGGATGGTAAGGAAGAAGTTTTCTTCCATAAGGTATAAACTCTTGCGGTGACCCTCCAAGAATCATACTTGTACTGAAATCAGATTTTGTTGACAAGAGTAATTAGCGTAAAAAAATAATATGAAATAATTAAATAGTTTATTGAGGGAAACCAATTCAATCTTCAAACTGCATTCAGAAGATAACAACAAAACACTGGTAATCGATTGAATCGATATGCAATTGATCGTTTACTTGCATGTGTTTTCTTGTTTTCCCGCTTTTTATTAGTTTGAGCGTATTTTATGAATGGAATGAAGCAATTGTATGAATTTAATTAAATTCACACAGAATTTGGTCGAATGAAAATTTCTTAAAATACAATCTAACAAAAATAAATTATTTACCTTTACTTACTTGTATTCAATTCAATAATAGGTTCAGATTTTTAGCTTTAGCAAAGATAAAATAAATCCGACATGAATTTAGCATAAGTTAACTTTCAATTTTTGGATACTTATTATTTGATAATTTGTGTCGGAATCAATTTCCACTAAAATTCGCAAGTTATGAATCACAACTTCAGAGTTTTGAGACTTTGACACTTATCAAATTGACAATCTTGTAATGATTCAGATTATTTATTTATAAGACGATAGATGGCTCTTTTTCGTCATCACGTAATTTTATAATTTGTAAGCCTCAATTAGGCTCAAGAATAAATAACAAAAATATTTCCTCATCATGAAAATTGTTTATAAACTCTGAAAACAGTGAATAGGAATTTATCAAACTGCTCTTGTTCATCTGATTTTTTGCTTTGATTTTTTCAACTTGATTCAAAGCATTCTTCGAAAGTTTTATATTTCACCTTTTCAACACTTTTTAATTGTTACAATGGTTATTTTATCTACATTGGTGAGATCTTTTAATGGTCGTTCTATCGTCTCTGCATCGTCTCGTCAATTACTTGGATCCTATTCAGTCGGTAATGAAACTGGTATTCGAAATGAATCTACAGGATTTAACTTTGAACCATCAGACGAAAGTAAACATTTTATCGAGTTATCTTCAAAGTTTACTCGCGATGAAATCATTCCTAAAGCAGCTTACTATGATAAGACGGGGGAATATCCATGGGAAATCGTCAAGAAAGCTCATGCGATTGGATTGATGAATACTTTTGTACCAGCTAAATATGGTGGACCAGGTCTTACCCTTACTGATTCATTATTGATGGCAGAAGAAATTGCCTATGGATGTACCGGAATCTCAACAGCCCTTGGTAATAATGCTCTTGCAGGTGCACCTTTACTTTTACATGGGTCAGAAGAATTGAAAGAAAAGTATTTAGGCTGGATCACATCAGAACCAGTCCAAGGTGCCTATTGCGTTACAGAACCTGGAACAGGATCTGATGTCTCTGGTTTAAAGACTAAAGCCATTAAAGATGCGAACGGTGATTGGGTCATAAATGGTCAGAAAATGTGGATCACAAACAGTGGTGTCGCGAAATGGTATTTTGTGTTAACTAGAACCAATCCAGATCCTAAAGCGAAGATAAGTGAAGCTTTTACTGGTTTCGTAGTGGATCGAGATACACCAGGTATCACAGTTGGTCGAAAAGAGTGGAACATGGGTCAAAGATGCTCTGACACCAGAGGTCTCAGCTTTGAAAATGTTAAAGTTCCTAAAGAAAACATGGTTGGTCCCGAAGGAAAAGGTTTTATTGTTGCCATGTCAGCATTCGATTTTACTCGACCTGCTGTTGCTAGTGCCGCAGTTGGCTTAGCCCGACGATGTTTAGATGAAGCTAGCAAATATTCTTTGGAGAGAAAGGCATTCGGTCAGGTGAGAAATTGATCAATCAATTAGTGCATGTGTGCTAAGATTCCATGATGGAATAAAAATGTTTATTATTTTAAATTCATTACATTAATGAAAGGGCGACGAAATTGGACTTCAGACTCTACTTCTATTATAACTTTTTATGGTATAATAGAAGTATTTTATAAGAATATAATCACATTTTATCTTATTATTAATCTCACTGAGTAATGTTTCAAGATTTTTATTATACACTTCTCAGGTTTGTCGTACCAATTTGAACTTTAAATCTTATCAATCTAGAATATCTTATTTATCAATTATAAGCAAACATTGTACATTCATATTGAAGGTTATGATTATAGTTATAACCAATTGAAATTTGTATTGGTAAGCTGTAGTAATCTAATATACCTATTTGTACTTTTATTTATTAACAGCCTATTGCCAATTATCAAGCGATACAATTCAAACTAGCAGACATGATGATCGGTGTCGAAACAGCAAAACTCGCCTATCTTAAAGCAGCATGGCTTCATGATCGAGGAGAGAAAAATACTTTGATGGCTTCCATTGCTAAATGCTTAGCTGCTGATGTTGCAAATCGCTCTGCTAGTGAGGCCGTTCAAGTTTTTGGTGGAGCTGGCTTCAATTCAGAATATCCAGTTGAAAAATTAATGAGGGATGCCAAGATTTTGCAAATATACGAAGGAACTGGCGAGATTCAAAGAATGGTCATTGCTCGAGAACACATTGCTAGAATGCAAAAGAACGGACCATAATCAAACTTAAAAATCATTCCAAATTATATTAAATTGTTGAAAATATTTTTTATATCGGTGTTTATGTGCCACGATTCTGTAAAGAAACCCCAATTTAGAATTGTGAACGATTCAAACTGTTAAATCTGGCCATCCTACCATAATTAATTGTATGTAAGGTAAATAAACAGCTTCTTAAACAAATCATATAATACAGAATGCGGCGGAATACCCTTCCGCGTCAATTATTATTAATTATTATTTCTATTTATTGTATGGAATTCTTTATTGTATGGAATTTTTTGATGATTTATTTAAAAAGAGAGTACAGAGTACGAGAAGCAGTTATATTAAGTTGTTGAGTACTTGTCAACAAATTGAATAGCGATTACAATTTCAATACTTGCAATTTAACTCCAAGATTTTGCTTCCGTATGAACTGACAAAGCTTTTTTCGTGTCTTGAATTTGAAAATTAACTTTTAATGCCAAAATTTTAGAGCAAGAATTTGGCTTTTCAATGAACTTTGTTCTTATTGAACGAAAACAACTTTTAGCGCCACCTTATTGGCCATATTTCACCCGCTTAATCGCCTTGATCTCTATCATTCACCATTCACTTTCCAATCAATTTGGAAAATATATTTTTAGCCGTTTTTTAGTAATGCTCACATCAACGTTTTTTTATCCAAAAAATACAAAAATTGAATAGTCGCGAATGTCTTTGTGTACATTAAATCCGTTAAACCTATTTGATATAATCCATTTTATAACGAAATCAACTTAATTTTAATTATATCGCTATTGATATGACCAGATAGCATTAGCTTAATTATCTATCTCAAAGCTTATTTCATCATTGGCTAGTTCAAAGAGGTAAAGATTAAAAAGAATGAAGAAAGCGTATTTAACCATTTAACAGCAACAAATATTCATTCATTTGCTTTTTTAGATGTTGTTATGATGCTTTGTGTGTGAATTTTATTAATCTATGTTTTTCCCCTTTAAATTGTTGTTTTCTCTGTTTGATTCTTAAAATTGTTGAAACAATCATCTTTACCATTTCAAAGGTTAAAGTGAGACCAAAATAGTGGATCAAGGACCAGTAATCATCTTGAATTCTTGATCTTCAGACGCTTCCTCGAGTAACTTAAAATTGTTGCTATTAATGCCTAATTATAATCATTTCAAAAAGGTGACAAATATCATATCATAATGTTTAATCTGTTGGATGCTGCTAAAACAGTCTTAAATTCAGTATCATCTACGAATTTATTCCCTTGGAATTTCATTGATTCAAACCATGGACCTTTTCAGTTGCCTGCACAGATGACCAGGAAAATAGAGTACCTTCCATTAGAAAGGAAAAGAAAGATGAACCAAATCGAGACGAACTTGACGAAAAAATTGAAACCAACACCCATAATTGAAGAGGTTCTTCCACCATCATTGCCGTTAGTATCACAAGTAGTGTCACCAAAATCACCACAAATATCATCTTGTACATGTTCACACACACCACCAGCATCGCCATTACAATCACCGTCACAATCCCCATTAAAAGCACCAATTGAGAAGCCAATAGAATCAATAATAGAAGCGCCATTACAATCACCATTAAAAGCACCGATAGAACCACCAATAGAATCGCCAATACAATCACCAGAAAAACCGCATCAACCAGAGGTCATAATTGAAGAAGTTGTTTTATCATCCTCACCATCCTCACCTTCAACACCGACATCTCATACTATGGGATTAAAATCACCATCAACATCACCATGTACTCGTTCTCAATCGCCGCCAGCCACGCCAGTACAACCAGCATTACAATCACCAGAGAAGCCCCATGAACCAACAATCACAATTGAAGAAGTTGATTTATCATCACCATCATCTTGTGCCAGCTCTCGATCACCATTGCAATCACCAGAAAAACCACCTCAACCAACAACTCCAGTTAAAGATTTTGTATCATCAAAATTAAATACAGCACCACAAACCAAGGAAATAAAAAAGCTATCACCATCAAAATTATCAATTCTGTCTCTCCAAAATCTCGAATTTTTCTCCAATAATTCAGAATTGTTAAAAAAATTGACTAATGATAACTTCGATTATAACCAATTTAAAGACACGTTGAAAAATCCATTCGATACCATAATGTTTTATCTTTTGGTGGAAGCGAAAGGATCTTTGAATTCAGCATCAGCTATCAATTTATTCCCATGGAATTTCGATGTATTTCACATTGGTATATATCCTCATGAACCTCATCAGGTGTTTTCTTCCATCCATGGAAACTTACCTGTACCCGAAAAGACAGTTCGAGATGATTTCCAAAGAAAAGTTTCTATTGTTGTTATTAAAAACAAAAAAAGATTTATCTGTACAAACAACCTTTGCAACCATGGGAATGAAAAATTCCCTAAAAAGGAGAACATCATTTTACATTTATACAAAAAATACGTACTCTTTGTGTGTGTGGCTTGTGGGGCAATGTTTCACGAAAAGTCTACTCTTGGTGTTCATCAAGCATCGCATTGTCGCTTCAGAAAAAAACTAAAAGCTCCTGACAATCTCAATGACATTAAAAATGAAGACGACAAAGTGATTGAAGATGACAATAATGGCGATGGTGAAAAAAATGTAGACATAAAAACTGAAGAAGAAGTTTTTAAAATTTTAATTCAAACTGCGCTTAAACGAGCTCATGAGGATGGATTACTGATTCAGTTCGAGAAAACTGAGGCTTTGATAAATGCCCTTTCGAGTGACTTCAAATCAATGAGTTTTCTCGTTCTTCTTGCAAGCATCATCATGTGTCAGGAAGGAAAGTATGGTCTTGAACGAGATGAGTTGCAATGGTGAGTATCAAATGTTCAATATCAATCAATTCAATCTAAACATGATTTTTTTTCTTCTTTCAGCCACGATGATTATTACAAAATTTGGATGGACACTGAGCGCTGTTTTCAGATTGTGGAATTAGCCACGAAAAAGGCAATCTCAATAGAAGTTCTAGAATCTCGAGTGAAGCGAGGTGTCGGCAAAGAGAGCGATTCTTATGTTTGTAAATATCCATTCTGTCGCTGTTCTGGTAAATTTAAAAGAAACACAAAATTAGAAATGATTTCCCACATTGAACAGTCTAATTACAGATTGGTTTGTTGTGGATGTCATTCATCATTCAAAGTAATTTCATCTTTAATCCGACACTCAAATGACAGTTGCAAACATAGCAAATTGTTGGATAAAATGAAAGAAGCAGCCAAAAAATACTAAATATTGTTATTCATTTTAAGTTATAGTCATCATTGACTGTAATCACAACAATCAACCAGTTTATGAGTTTGGACAAAAACAAAATTTTCACTTGTTACTTGTTTTGAAATTGAAATTTACTCTAACGATGTGTCTTTAAGACCTAGAAATAGTCAAAGTTATTAACTATAAGCGTATTAATATGTAAAATGAAGAATGAATAAATGAACAAATTTTGAATCTCTTAATTGTTCAGTTTCCTCGACGATTTATTCGAGAATTTTATTTTCAATATTCAGTTTGAAATTTAAAAAATTCAAATTAGCACAGAGGATATATTAATGGCTTAAATAATATATTACTTTTAATATCAGCATAAAATGATATTAAATTGACTTTAAATTGTCCATTTGACTGTATAATGATTTCACAATTGATTAAAATTACAATTTATCTAGAAAATAAATAACTTTGTAAATAAATAATAGGTTGGGTCAAGATATGCTGATGAGCTTTTCAAGTCTCTCAGTTTTACTTAATTCTTGATCAATATTAGGTGACTAACTTGGATGATAAGAATCACCTTCAGGAATTATTAATAATTGTTTAGCATAATTTTATAAATATTTCATTTTATTAATAATGATTTGTAAGAATCAATGATTAAAGTTGATTCTGGTCGCCTAACTCCTTTCATGTCTAAAATTTTGACAAACTCCTCCATATTTGAATCTGGTAAAAGCTTTGCGTAACTTTCAATATAATGGTTGACATCTCGATGAGGAACAAGAACGACTTTCAGAATCATTTCAGCCTTGGTCATTCCTCGAATCACTTCTTTCACATAACTTGCTGGAGCTGATTTAACATTTGATTCCCAACCAGGTAATTCTTGTAATACTTTCTTCAACAAATGTGTATCGAGAAGCAATTGTTCAGCACCTTCCTGGCGTAATGGCTTACAACGGAACAAGTAGCCAATAAATTTTGGAATGAAGACTTGAGCGAATCTATTGCACAGTTGGGTAAAATATTTTCTCGCATCTTGTAAATTCTCCCTAATAAATGGAAATATCTGCTGTAAATTGTCCACAATCAACTTTACATAAGGACTTTGATCAATCGGTGTTCCTATGGTTGACCATTGAGTCTTGATCATTAAAGAAAAGCCCAATTCACACCCTGATTCAATATCTTGAATCAAAAGGTCAATGCAGTTTAAAATTATCCTACAGAGAAGAAAAGATAGAAAGATAATTTATTAGAATTAAATTTTAACAAACTGTTATTGAATACTCACCTATGAAATAAATCTTGTTCTGAGCTTAAGTTTATTTTATCCAAATATTGTTTGTCCACTTTTTCTTGAAGCTTTTTTTCCAATTGTTGCACAGTTTCCAAACAATAATTAGCAGTTAAAAGGATACAACAGATTTGGCAGAGTTCTTGTTTTGTATAGCGAACAACTTCTCCTTCTTTTAAACTAATCTGCAAAAGTCCAGTCGCCGAGATAGCTGCATTGATAACAGAAACACCGCTAGCCGAAAGACTAGTAGTCTTCAAACGAGGTAAATTGTTATTTAAAACACGCGTAGCATATTCTTCAAGATTCTTTTTAAATTTGAATGATAATTCAACAAGTGGTCGACCCGTACTTAATTGGACACATCGCACCAGACAGTTTTTATATTGTGAAAAAAGCATTCCAGCCGAAGGAAAAACTTCGGAAACATTACGGTCGTTGGTGAATTTTTGCTTTTGATATTTATCCACGAATTCATCGATCAATTGGGATAAATTTTTTTCCTGAGCTTCAACATAAATTTTAAGATGCGGCTCAAAACAGTGTGTTATCAACCCAGAAAAAGGGTTCAATAGGTTTTCTTTGCTCATTTCGTCGTTAATCAGAGTTACCCCAGTAAACCTTTGATTTAGCAAATTTTCAAAGGCACTAGTTTTATCAAATGCAAATAACAAGAGTCTAACATTCATTTCATTGGCTCGATTCATCATTACTTTGCTCAGCTGATTGGCAGTAAGTTTACAAAATTCAACTGCAATACATTCACTGACTTCCCATTTAGGAGGAAACATGCGGCCAAATCTTTCCTCGAATTCAATCAAATGCTTTTTCAACCAGTTATAACGTTTGTCAATTTTATCCAACCAGGCTAGGTCTTGATTATCTTGGAAAAGAGCTTTGTATTCTTCTAGTTCAGAGTCAATAAACCATTCGAGAAGTTGATCTTTCACTAAATTTTTTTCACCATCTGGGTTCATAGTAGAGACAACAAGACAGGCTTCAGCCAAAAGTCTTAATTGATTTTGTGAAATGGCTGCTCCTTGTTTGGATTTAGGTCTACCTTCGATAACACTTTTAAAATCAGCCTTGATTTGTTCTGCTAACTGATCAGTTATACCATTGATTTGACCTACAAGCTGCTTAATTTGGGGTATATGCCGATGTTTATCCAATTGATTTAAAACATCATTAACACTTTGAAGAATCCCAGCAGCAGTGCCATAATTACGTTTTGTACAAGCCTCACTAAATTCAACAATATAATTAGAAACATTAAAAACAAACCAATATTAGACATACATTGTTTTATAATATTGTAATAAGTCAAGTAACTAACCTGAGTTTGTCAACTCCTTCAACCAAAATATGGAGATTATTAAGCATGGTGATGGATGAAGTTAAATTTCTTTTAGCATTATCTAATTGTTTTATATCAGCGGTGATTTCATTAACCATTTGTTCCGATTTCTTCGCCTGTTCTTTCATTTCACCAATGTTACTTGTCAATACTCCAATGACTCTTCTAACTTCATCCAAAGCTGCTCTACCTTCAGTTTCAACATCACTTTGGCCTCTAACGACTCGTCTTATATCCTGATCTAAATTTCTAATTTTATCTTTCATTTTAGACAGCACATCATCAATATTAGTTAATGATTGTTCTGTTGGGAAAATGGTATTGATATATTCAATAGCATCGAAGTCACATTGATCCAGGGGATCATCAGATACCAAAACTTTGCTGATTGTTTCTTGAACCTCAGCTGGTATGGTGACTCTGTAAGATAATAAAACAAAATTAAATACTATTTCATATTCAGTATAATATAAAGAAATTGAAAATTGTTTACTTACTTCGAGTCTTCAGTCATCTTTAAATCCTGCATTCAAGTTTTGTTTTCACTGTTAGTAAAATTGCATATCCATCTGACAACTGTATTCACAGAAAATCAATAAATTCAGATTAGACAACATTAACTTAAGATTATTAAATAAATTGTCATAAAAAAATCAAAAGAAAATACAGAATAACATATTTGATTATATAAATATGCTATGATTCATAATTTAAAAAGCTTTAAGCAATTGTCAATTGGAAAGAAACAGCTGTCTTGCATCTGAATCGATTACACTCGAGCGCCTTTTTTGTCTTCACAAAAATTTCATTCATGACTTTGCTCATTTAATTCAGCCTTTATTTATTGCAGTTTCTTTCTGATTGTTTTTTACTTGAAACCCATGTAAAAACAAGCATAATCAAAAGATTGATTAGCTGAATACAAATTTAATATCATATAATAATATGATAAAGTTGAAATGAAAAATTGTGAATAATTTACGGCCATTCGACGTTTCTGGATTCAAATTGCAAAGTAAAATCTCAATGTAGTCAAAATTGGATTAAAGCAATTATTTTAATCTCAAAAAACTACAAGATCAAATCATAGAATGAATTAGCTTGCTAATTGCAGCAAATCTTTGAGTAAGTAATTTGGTATAGATATGCCATCCGTTTAATCTAATTGTCCTTTGTAGTATGGCAGAAATTTTCCATCGATTCGCAATATTACTCTTGATTGCTCATTCTTGGTTACATCTATTTTACAATCAATGGCACTCATGATTCCATCACCGAACTCTTCATGGATAATGCCCCGTAAACTGGATCCATATACTTTGAATAGTTCATTAAATCTGTAGACTGCATGGACGAAGTAGAAAATATAAATTGTTGGTTGGAAAACGAAAATAGCAAATTAAGCATACTTAATGGGTCATTGATGATGTTTTGATTTCCCCTCAGTGGAATGGACGTTAATTCATTAGCGTATTCGTGAGAGATGCCGAGAGTATCGCAGATTCTGTGTGCCAGTTGAATATCACAACAATTTTGTCCATGTAATACTGATGTTAACCAGACCTGATTTTTTAAAGATAGAACAGTTTAAGAACGAAATTGAAATGTTACATTAAAATAACAATAAATTAGGAAATGATAAACAAACCTTATTCACGGACAATAGTTGAGCCATCTGTTGATAAGTTAGCCCTTTAGACTCTTTTGCTTTAATAAATTGATTGCTCATGATTTGTCGAGCATAATTAGCTGACGAAATTTGAAATAATCTTGAATAAATTCTCATGATGAAGAAATAAAAAGAAGATGAAAGAAATTAACTTGAAGGTTCAATCTGCAGAATTTCGTTATTGAATCGATAGATGCCACAATTAGAGCTGTTAGATACTTTACAGGAACTCAATTTCTAACATTCTGAGAAATATAATTTTTTATCAATTTTATTGACCTACAATTTTAGTAATTTAAAAACTAATTAATCGAGACAATCAAATGAGAATAAAGTTTCCATAAAATAAATTTCATTTATAAATTAAAAATTATGCCGTACATTCCGTAATAGAGTGATGGTCCCTCGTTTCTCATCACAACGGAACCGGAAATTTTGCTTTAGTGAACCTGAGTGGCTTTTGGTTTATGTTAAAACCATCACAGTAAAGATTGGTTCTCTTCAGTTAATTTATAGTAATTGTGATTAAAGTTTAATTAAAATGGTAAGTTGTGTTATTTTAATTGTCTACATTCTCTTACCAATGTACTTTTATCGTTAATGTGCTAATTATTGTTTTCTTTCCACAGTCTGCTCATAAGACATTTAGGGTCAAAATCAAGTTGGCCAAAAAGCAAAAGACCAACCGTCCTATCCCTCAATGGATTAGAATGAAAACTGGCAACAAGATACGATACAACGCTAAGAGGAGACATTGGCGAAGAACCAAGCTTAAGCTCTAATTGTTTTGTATTTGCTGACATAGATGAGTCTTGATTAAATTAATGTTTCAACATTACCTATGGTTATCTCTTTTCTTTACCCATCGCGTTTTACTGTTAACATGTGATGTTTGAATTTTCAAACGTTTGGTCTGACCTTTATGCTAAATTAGTGTAACATGGGTTGTGGGAATAAGTGTGTTGTCCAGTTTAGTTTTAATTTATACAAAATCTAATTCTTTAATAGTACTATATACATGTTTAAATTTTACTTATTCTGTTTACTCCACTCTTTGTGCAGTTTTGCTAGTAAATCAGCGGATATTTGACCAGATTGGACCAATTTTTTTGCAATAGGAGTTTCTGAGCTAACATCCATCGATTTTGAATGCTCTAAACCATTTTCTCTCTCATTCCTTGGCAGTTCCTCCTCAATTGCTCGTGGTTCAACACGTCTCCTTGTCCTCGATGCAACTTTACCAGTCTTCACATTAGCATTTATCAGTCGAGCAAGGTGAAGTAAACCTTTGTCAATTTTACTATCAATTTCTTTTTGTAAATTTCTTACGAGTTCAGGATCTGGAAATAAGTCGGGAAAACGATAGCTTAACCAAAGGTATAGATCGAGAACATCAAAAACCATTTCCAAAGAAGCTAATTCAGTAATATTCCTAGGCATTGGTATCGGCCAACTTATTTGATTGCTTAACCAATCAATAGTGACTGGTTCATTAATACTATATTGCCGAGCAAATTTAGTAAACATGCTGCAAACAAATCCATATTGAAGGTTAATTGGAGCACAGCAGAAAACATAGCGTGCTCTTAATGGTAAGTTGATATGTTGAATCATTTCGGCTAAAGCTTTGAATGGAGTAATGTCACAAATAAAATAATTAGACGAATTGATTTGACAAAGGCTCACAAAGATGTCTACTAAATTTGATAATGTTGCTTTAGGAAGGTAATATGCAAAAAGTTCGATTTGTTCAGCAGTTGGATGAAGTCCAACAGCAGCGATCGGGTCCACCGTTTTCGCTAAAACTCTTTTCAATATTTGTAAATCTTCTCTGTTCATGGTAGTAACAAATCCCTCTGAATAATCGGTACCAAAACGTCCTGCTCTACCGGCGATTTGAAGAGCTTGAGAAACACTTATTAGCTGTTTTTCTTTTTCTCCTTTATCGTTGATACTTAATTTTTCGATTGATTTGAAAATGACTCGATTTATGCTTAAATTTAGACCCATACCAATAGCATCAGTGGCTACTAATATTTTACACTTTGATGTTGGATCATTGAATTTTTTTGCTTGCGCTAATTTACTAGTAGGAGGTAAGCTTCCATAAATAACGGCAACCTCATGGCCCATTTTTTCTAGGTCTAAAACGGTTGCATAGAGTTCAGCTTTGTTAAAACACACAATACAATCACCGGGTCTAACATTGGTCAAAGATTGTAAAGGTTCATCACTAATGGTCAACTTGGTTAATCTTTTATATTTACGGACTTCAACTGTTTCGCCTATTGGTAATAAGATTTCTCTAACGATATCTAAAGCTGCTTCTTCGCCGCACAAGTGTACTTCATGAGCAGGTACACCAAGCAAGGCACGAGTCCAGGCCCATCCTCTTTGAGAATCACGAAGCATTTGAATTTCATCGATTACAGCTACTTCACAATTATCACGAGTTGAGACCATTTCTACAGTACAGGCATTGTGTGGAGAAGGTACTCCTGATGGATCAGCTAATCTCCGTTCTTCTCCAGTAACAAGATCACATGCTGTACCTCTATCATTGGCTTTCGCGTGAACTTCAACAGCTAACAACTTCAGAGGTCCACAGTAAACCCCAGATTTTGCAGATAAGAATCTTTCCAGAGCGTGATAAGTTTTTCCACTGTTTGTGGGTCCACAATGAAAAATAATTTTTCGCTGTATAGCTCGAGCTTCTGGATACCAATTTGGTGGAAGTCTCAGATCACTAATCTTTTTTAATTCCTCAATACAATCTAGATGAGGAAAAATGGAACGAGAATACTTGATGAATGGGTTATAAATATCATCCACATTACCAGAACCGCTTAAAATGTCACTGAAAATCACATGCAAATCAACGGGTAATGGACTTGTTGTGACGCAATATTGTTGGAAACTTTTGAAAGCTTGATCATAGATAGAATTGTCCATTCCTAATTCGATAGCCATCTCTTTAATGTGTGGCCGTTGGTAAAATTGTTGTAGCAATTGTAAAATTTCTAAGCGTTGAATCTTTCGTCCAGTTAAGTCTTCGCCAACATTAGGTTGATTGGGTTGATTTTTGAAACGAGGTTGAAGAGGTATCACAGGTATGGATTTGCGGCGTTCATTAGCTTTGGATTTACCAGCATTACTGAAAAAGGAGAGCAAGAAAGCATGATTAAGAGGATAATCGAATTAGCAATATAAATTGTTGATAGGAAAATGAATTTTAATGATTTAATTCAAGCCGAAATAAACATACCTAGCAGCTGATTTGGACAAAGTAGATTTGACCATATTAGTCATAACTATAGCTCGATTACGTTGTGGTTGCGCCCTAGAGACGATTGTCTTAATGGTCAACATCGTTAAGAGCGGGTGAGTTATCAATAAAAAAACTTTATTATTAAATTAACATAGTAAATCTAAATTCGTATAATAAACATTTAAAAACATTTGTTGTCACATGTGAGTTCAGCATTTCAATAAATTTAAAGCGCCATCTATAAATGATCTAATCTCAAAAAAATTAATGAATCACTAATTCAGGATTAATTAACAATCAAGAACAAAACCTCTGCATGATAGTCAATGTTTCCCATGCGATTCTTGATAATTAAGCATTCTTGAGGTAATTTCGCTAATTTACTATCAATTCCAACCAATATTTGTTTAAATATTATTTACTCTTTCATTTGATCGCTGAAGCTTGAAACAGATCGAATTAATTTTATTAGTTTAAAGAATAATTGAATTGTGTTTTTAAAAATGAAAAAAAACTTTCGACTAGAAATAATTGCAAATCAAATTAAAAACTTTAAAGAAAATTTGATCTTACAAAATTTAGTTGCACTGATTATACGGTCCCTAACAAAAGGAAGTTCAAGTATATACGACTTCCTTTTTGTGGATTTACCTTCTTAGTGGCACATTTTTTCATGTGTTTGGTTAAACAACTAAATTAATTTGTTTGTGGATTAATCCAAATTCAATTAACAGTGAATTTGTCAATTTGTTTATTACAGTGCTTTCTTATAAATTTTAGTTTTATTGTAATTTAAAAAGAAAAATGGTGGTTTCTAAAGTTACAAAGGATGCACTCTATGAAGGAGTTAATTCGGTGCTCCTTGAGTCCAAAAGGAACAAGAGAAGATTCTTAGAAACAGTGGAATTACAAATTGGATTGAAGAATTATGACCCCCAGAAGGACAAGCGTTTCTCCGGTACCGTTAAGATGAAGCACATACCCAGACCCCGATTCCGAGTTTGTGTTCTCGGAGATCAGCAGCATTGTGATGAAGCCGCTGCCAATGGTTTGGACGCCAAGAATGCTGAAGACTTGAAGAAACTTAACAAAAACAAGAAGCTCGTCAAGAAATTGGCGAAAAGCTATGACGCTTTCTTAGCCTCAGAATCTTTGATCAAGCAGATTCCTCGTTTATTAGGTCCTGGTCTTAACAAAGCCGGTAAATTCCCCACTCTATTGACTCACAATGAGAATATGATGTCAAAGGTTGACGAGGTGAAAGCAACTATTAAGTTTCAGATGAAAAAGGTTCTGTGTTTGGCTGTTGCAGTTGGACACGTTAATATGACGCCGGATGAGTTGGCTCAAAATGTTAATCTAGCCATTAATTTCTTGGTATCTCTGCTAAAGAAGAACTGGCAGAATATTAAAAGTCTGCATATTAAATCCTCCATGGGACCTCCCATCAGACTTTACTAATTAGAATGCATTCTATTATTAAGGTTTGTTTCGAACTGTTGTCAGAAAGTAGATTTACTTTTTTCGCAACACAAACATCAACGTCAACACATTGTTTTGCTTTTCGACCGACCTGAATAAAGCTCTGTTTAATAGACAATACGCTTTGAATTTATTTTTTTTTTACTTTTTAATATAGAAAATTTTTCACAAGCTCGGAAAGTATTCTTTTTATTACAGAGGAAAGACTTAATTTACTGATCCCTCAATTCACAGGATGAGGGAAAACCTGTTGGAATATTTACATTCATTGAATTATCAGCTTATGTTGGTCATCTGTATAATTAGGATGAACAGTCCAAGTCTGACATTACAAACTAGGTGTTCAATTTCATTCTTATACAGCAATATGAAAAAAGATGTTTAAGATGCTAGAACAAACATTCTTTTAGACAAAAACTCGCAGAAAAATTGCAGGAAAGGGTAAATCTGAAAAAGCGGAAAGAAAATGAGAAAAATATTGGATACATGGTTAAGCCCTGGCCCATAAAATCGTATTACATGAAGTATGTAGTTTTGATTTATCATCATGAGAAAGGTAGAATTATGATTATCAGATTAAATACATAATTATAAATCTCTGTTGTTCTAATGAAATGATACCTATGAAACAGTAACGTCAAGACATCTCCGCTCCGAGAAGAATACGTGTAAATTCGTAAACAAAGTAATTAATGCTGACTGCTGGAGTACATTTCAGAAAGTTGGGCAAAATACCACGATAAAGTCCACAATATCCTTCTTCAGCGATTATTTTCTTGAACACCTTATAAATAGGCATCATTGGATTAGTTGTTTGAGCTTGCAAACGAGTCCTTATTAGCGTCAGTGGATAAACAATACACACACCAGTTATATTACTGACAGTCCCACAAACAAGATACAATCCTAATGGTGGGTTTCCTGGATGTCTTTGAATATACATTTTTTTCAACGTCTAGATGGAAGATGGAAATGTTGGAAGAGAGATACACGGAGGAACAGAATAGAGAAAAAATAGAAGAAAAGATAAAAACAAGATTTTAGATAAAAATAGACAATTTACAGGCGATATAATAGCTATCACGCAATGGCGAAACTAACCTCATATGTGGCTAGATCAATTCCAGCATAAGGTATGATTCCGAGAAGATTGGCAATGTATCCTTTATAAAAAGCGCGTACACCTTCAGCATGGTATATTTTCATTATAGCATCCAATAGTCCTTTATATTGACCAGTTTTACGAAGACAGAAACGAGTTTTCAGAACCTCCATAGGGTATATCACAGTTTGGGACAGAGATCCTGCTATGGACCCGGAAATGAACCTTTCTACAAAACCTAGTTCACTTTTCATTTGATCGTGCATGATAAGTTTTATCTAGAAAGAAAAGATGCATGGTAAGAAAAAATGATTAGTGGATGAGATTGCACAGAAAGGAATTGGAATAAAAGATATAGAAACAGAGTGAAAGAGTGAAAGGAAAGATTATTGTGAAAGAGTTGAATGAGAAAGAGAAATCAAAATTCAAGGTTAACAAGATGAATAACTTTTAGGGCAATTAAGACCGGTTCATCGGAACCCGGTAGTGACTAGTGCACCAAACAATAGTTACAATAGATGGAAATGAGCAGGAATGGGTGAAAAATAAATATACCTGATCATGGAAAGTAAATTTCAAGGCATTTTCTGGAGCCACTTTCATCACATTAATACCATTACCCATCCAGAACGATCTAACACCACCCTCTTTAATCATATAATAATAACAACCCCTTATACTAACAAGCTGGGCCCCTTGAACTTGCAAGAGCACTTTAACGCGATCTAAAGGTGCTGTTACTGTCCTCGAGACACCACCAGCAAATGCACCAGCAATGACATGTTTCCACCAATTTGAGTTATCCATTAGACTTCTAGGTCTGACAATGTTGTTCTTGCCATTATTAACACTACTACTGGCCACTACAATTGGGGTTTCAGTAACATTTACAGAGGAGGTAGTTGACAAGCAGCTATCCTTTCCTTTTGGTATGGATGAGGTTGCCATTAGATTAACCTAAGAAAAATTCCTTTTCACCAAGAAATTGTATTAACATTTAACGCAATATTCGTTTAGCAATGATTCATAACTCATTATCATTGATTGTAAATATATCTGGAATATTGAAGTAAAATTCAAAAAAAATGAGATGAGCACAGAAGATGGCAAGGCACCAATGCAGCAGTAATGGTCATACAAATACTGTCGATCAACAGATGATGGAGAGATAATTGTTATACGCGTTATTGATGAAATATGGTGGTTGTTAGATTGCTATCTAGATGATCAGAATGATGTTGTTGTTGATTATGATGATGATGATAGTGATGATGATGTTGATGGAAGTGATGATATTGAAGTACAAGAGTTCGCTTGAGGAAGCCAAACTCCTTTCCAGATTGTCAGTCAAAGTAGGGAGATTAAGTTTAACCATTCATCGGGTTAAAAAGGTAGTTAAGTTAACTAAACAAAAAACATGAATCAAAAATTTTAATCAAATTCATTAATTAGTACAATAAACTAAGATCAGGATCTGAACAAGAGCCAGAAAATACCATTGAATGTGGATTGCATTGAAACATTGAAAAATAACATTTAAACAGCGCCAGCTGCCGCTTATTTTTCTCACTATTTCTCGAACATGAGATTCAATAAATAATCTTTTTATAAAATTTGTTTATTTTTCGTATTAATTTTTCAATAAAATAATCTTCTCAGTAAAATGCTTTGTAGATTAGTTGAATATCTCATTGTAAACTGTTCTTCAGGTGAAAAGTAAAGCCATCATCTTTTATTAACCTGAATTTAATCTAAGTATTATAAATCATCATCATCCCATTAAATTATAATCTTAATTTGAATATATTTGCCGGTTAACGCTAATACTGTTAATCACTTTATGGCAATTTGATTATAGATACTGTGGCAAACATTAATGTCAAAATATTGACTGCAATAGCGGTAGTAACTAAGGATGATGTCTTTGCGCTAAAGTTGACAAAATGTCGAGCAACGTTCCTTGGTCAAATTGTCAATCTTTCATGTCAAATGGATCAATATTGATTGATACTGATGAAAATTAATGCTGAAGCTTCCGGCAGTGTATTAAATAATAACCAATCTAATAATTCAAAGTAGAAACCAAGAATGAACCAGAAAAGCGGTGCTAGGAAGGATTGAGAAATACAAGAGAGATGACAAAGTCAATCAATTGAATCACAGTTCAATTGTTGTAACTCGCCTCAACTTTAACCGTAAACCATGAAATAGTGAGTCAATGGTTGTCAATAAATCTTTTTACCTCATCACAACCATCATCGACTTCAAGACAAACATTAAAGGTTTTGGTGGAAAGAGATGAACATATCAACAACAACCTCGTCAGTTTATTTTGTGCTATCCACGGAGTTTACTTCAAATTGTGATTTACTTATGGTTATCCATTTCTTATTTGATTATTGTTATAGTGAATTATTAAGCTTCAACTAAAACAGTCACAAAAACAAGCAAATCGAGTAATTAATCACACAAGCAACAGATAATTGTGACCACCATAAGATAAAAACAATGTCAACAAATGATACTTACACTGGTTTGGATCAAAAGTTTCTCGAAGCAACAGATGTCAGTGAAATATTGTTAAACCTTTTGACACCAGTAACCAGCCGTCAAAATATTCCCATTAATTTCATTATTGCTGTAGCTTTTGCTATAACTGCGACCCTTAACATTATCAATATTGGCTTAATTATTGGAATTTTCAGCAAGCTTAAAAAAATCTCCAAAAAATCCCTCAGTTGCGGTAAGGATTTGGTTAAACATATGATGCACTTGCTTTTTTCAATGGATCAAGCTGGCAGTAAATTGTCTTCATTGCTTTTACACATTCTTCACGTTGTTACGGAAATCGCTATGAGACAAAATCACCAAGCAACAGCTTTTATTCATCTCATTGAAATTGTCCGTCTTCTCACCGCTGATTCACATCGTCGTGAAGACTCTAACCACCATCATTCTCGTCCTCGTCCGCACTCCACTCCTTTAATATCGTATTTTTTGCCTTCACCTCCACATAATCATCACCAATCACATCCAGATCCACACTTCCATCCACCTCATCATCTGCCTCCACCACCACCACCAGCACCACATCATCTTTCATTGCCTCCACCACCTCCTTCATATCACCACTCACCCAACTCATTTCCTCCGCCATTTGCTCCATTTCAATTCACTGATCAAATGAGTCACCAACAAATGGGCGAAAGTTTCAACTCAACTTGGACGGACGCTTTTATGCAGCCAACACAGCGATTAGGCGTAATTTATGACGATCTGTGAAAAATCTAAAGTTCGGTAAAGAAAAGGGATTCCGAATTGTTATTGTGCAAATTGCATGTCATTTATTTATTTTATTTAACAAATTATTTATTATAACAACTACAATTAATGGAATCTCCTGATCAGATTAAAATAAGTTTAAAATTAACATTGAAATTGACTTTTCTCAATTGAAAGAGATATCATTTTCACTTCAAATGATTTGCCTTTACTAAACTCTCAAATTATTTAATTTAAACTTTTTCCAAACATATTACCTGAGCTGGTCGGAATTGAACCATCGGATTTGAGTTGCAACTGAAATTCATTTTCATTTGGATAATAATGTGCTGATTATATGACTGAATATTGAAAACTAACACTTTTATTTGCCAAAAAGTGACCCAATAAACTGCAAGCTCATAATTATCAAGTTAAAATGTACTTAAATTTCTGTTCCGAGTTTCATTTTGGCCATTTTAGTTGCAAATCACTTCGATTCCTTGGAGTTAAAAAGTCTTTGACTGCTGCTTTCAGCTAAGAAATTAGTACAAACGAGTGCAACGGTTGTATCGCTTGAGATTTGTGAAAAAATAAATAACTTGTGACTAGATCTGACTAATAAGTCTAACATTATTCAGGCACAATTTCTAATGTTAAAGATCGTCAATTCTCTCTTCCTTGGACTACTTCGTCAGTCACTTGAATAGACGCGAATAAAAAAGCTACAAATAAACTGAGAAATAAACTAGCGAGTTATAAAGAGAGATAACCAATGAGAAGAAAAAAATAGCACTTTCTTTTTCGAGGTTCTGAACCAATTCAATTCAACTACCGCCTGATCACCTAATGGGCCATTATTTAATAACGATTCAACATTATTTAGATTCGAAATTTAAATATTCTATATGGAAGATATCTAAAATAATCACTCCTTAATTTGTGTATGCAACTGATAATTCATTGAAATAAATGAAAATTTATGAATCAGTTAAGGTTCAAGTTTGAAATGACTTTTTCAATCGATTTTATTATTATCCTTTTAATATTGGAGCTTGAAAGTTTATAAGTTAATTTTATCACAATAGATGTCGCCTGACGAGATTTTCGGTTCCCATCTGGGAGGCTTTCCAGTGGAAGCAGTAATGTTTGTGTTTTGCCGAGATCCTTTTCCTATTAACTTTTGTTTCAATTTGTAGTTTAAAACTTTTAATCATTTAGACAACCTCAAATGGCCCTGTCATCGAAAGAAATGGAAGCTCTTGAGGCTCTTCTTAATGAAGAAAACCCACAAGTTGAACAATATCTGAAGCCAGAGATGGTCAGACTAGCTCCACCTTTGCATAACTCTGAGGATGAAGTAAGCTATCATTTTTCTGTTGATTTGCCTTTAATTTCTTCAATATTTTTTTATCAATGTGTCCTTTTCTCCGATTGTTTCTCTTCTTATTCAGTTTGTGTGGCTTTTCCCTTCTGAATTGGATGATGTTAAACTGGCCTGGGACTCCACTATGTCTTCACATGTCTCTGTGATAACTGAAGCTAAAAGATTAATGTCCAAAGCATTTGAGTGCACTCTAACTGTTGACCAACAGAGAACTTTACTTCAAGAAATTGAAAAGGATCATAAATTGGTTTATTATATGGGATTAACGCCGTCCAAGCTACCTGAATTAGTTGAAAATAATCCTCTGATTGCCATTGAGGTCCTTCTAACTCTGATGCCGTCAAATCAAATCTCAGAATATCTTTCAGTTCTTGTTAATATGGAGATGTCCGTTCATTCTATGGAAGTCGTCAATAGACTAACTACCGTGGTTGAACTGCCTCCTGAATTTATACATCTCTATATCACTAATTGTATTCAAACATGTGAAAGGATAAAAGACAAGTGCACACAAAATCGTTTGGTTCGCTTGGCATGTGTCTTCCTACAATCCCTTATTAGAAACAAAATTATAAAAATTCAAGATGTCTTCTTAGAAGTTCAAGCTTTTTGTATTGAATTTAGCAAAATCCGTGAAGCGGCAGCCTTATTCAGATTACTGAAACAACTAGATATGTGTGAACAAGAAAATTCATCAACAGCACCTACAACACCAACAACAACACATTCTTCATCATCAATCGCAACGACAACTACAAGTACAAGTAACAACAACACAGCTACCTCTTCTCAATCATCTTCACCAACATCATCTCAACAACAATCACCACAAGCTTGAAGCTGTTTTTCTTTTCCTGGAAAATTGTTACCTCTCTATGCTCTTTTTTATTATTATATATTTTTCATAACTAGTAGATTATTCCATGGATGTAGAAACAAAAACACAAATGGTTTAAAATTTTTGCCATTCAATAAAACGTACAAGGCGACGACCATCCTTGACAAACCTGAATGACATGTTGTTAGAAATGAAGAATAAGAAGAAGAAGAAGAAAAACTTTTTGTCGATATTGAAAGTGACCATTTAAGACGATTGAGTGTAACTGTCGATGAGTCTCACATTAAGTACTGGATTAAATCTAATCAACCAGTACCTGATGTAATACTCACAGGCAATCACACTTGATGAAATTGAATCCAACACAAAGAAAAGATTGATTTGAAATAGCACGGAAAACTTGGATAAATGGAAATAATAAAGATGGCACACTATATATACTAACTCTCTCTCTCTTCTCACTCACTCACCCTCTATCTCCGTTCATCTCTCTTCATCCTTCTCTCTCTTTCTCTCTCTCTCTATGGTTTTTCTGCTTCTATAGCATTATCATTTGTTGAGCTACTTTAAAGAGGTTTAACCATCATCACACCTCCTTTTCGTCCTCCTCCTCCACCTTATTATCGTCCTCCTCCTCCTCCTCCTCCCTTCATCGTCTTCACCTCTCCATAATCAACCTTATTTAAAAACAAGGCAACATTGCATTAATTGTTTAAAGGTAAAATGACCTTCCATATTTTTCCAGCTCAACCACAATCCCTAACCTTTCCCACTTGTTCACTTTGACCAACAACAATACCACTGAGTCAAGTCAACCTTTGACCCATTGCCTTTTATTCCTTGTTACCCAACCATATTACCTTTATCCAACACCATTACAACCACAAGCACAACTAACATCATTCAATAAACCACAAATCATTGATATACCTTTATATAAATCTAATAATTGTTGCTGTTATTTTGTTTTATGCCAAGTCAGCTTTCTTTTTGTTTTACCAATATTTTTGCTTCTCTCTCCTTTTGTTTTTCACTGGCATTGTTAATTTTGCATTGCAATCCTCTCACTCGTTACTTTTTGTTTTTTCACTGTATTTCCATCTTCATCTTTAATATCTTCCTTATCATCATCATTATCATCATCATTTTATTCATTCATGAGTTGCTTAAATTTAACATTGATTCGCATATAATACAAGTCCATCATTTGATAGATGAGAGTAAAAAATGAAGCAGTAAAAGGCAAAAACAAAACGGATTTAAGGGAAAGCAAAGTGAAACCTACTAAATGGCAATTGCAAACAATACAATGTTACTCTGCTTCTTTATGACTAAAATTAATAATAATCGTAATAATAATAATAATAATCTTGTTTATCATCATGTAGTTGGTCTCATCCTGACGAAGGCCATTTTTTATGATCATGACATCGTTTCCGTGACAACAATTTCTTCCATAGGAATCAATCCTTTTGTATAATAACCAACTTTCCGCTCAATTATCATCTTTTCATCTCTTCCTCCTTCATCACCATCAAGATGATCATCATCACCATCTTCATCATCATTAAATCAGTCAAAATCATACAAAAGACACAGAACTGTGCTTTCTTAATTTCCCATTTTTCCCTTCAATAACTTTTCTCAATGGCGGTATTGATGATGTTTATCATTAAATCCTTATTAACTGTCAACATTGTGTGTGAATAAATTAGTCAACTTTTAATTATCAATTGATTAGATTGAAAACAAAACACAAAAAGTCGCATCGTTTTATCCAATCTTCAAGTTAACCTTTAATGTTTCATATCCACCTTAATATTAACATGATTTTCGTTGTGATTCCAGTCTAATCACAGTATTTATATTGCTTATTTCATGTGTTATCAAATAGAAGAAGAAACTCATCTTGATTATCTCTTAAATATAAGGAAACATCTTAATTCTGTTAATCATAACCATTAAAGCTTTTCTCCCTTTTCCCATTGCCTGGTTTTGCCTTTTCCTTACGCCGTATATACAGTCAAATGTATACCTAAATTATGACTAAATTGCGTTTCAGATTATGATTTAGGTAAACCTTGATTATCTTGACTCTCTGTTTATATACATATATTGTTAAAGGTTACAATCAGATTATTATTATTACCATTATAATCATCAAATGTACACAGCAAATATCCATCGGCATCATTACCATTAATTTGTTTTATACCATTTATTAATACTGTGTCTTTAATCAATCCAATAATAAACAAAATGTTAATTCTTGTTCCATCTAAAATGTATATTCATCAAAAAACGGTAATTATTTGGATCTCAAGTTTATCAAACTAGAGTTGAAACTTTACTTTTTTTTATTACAGCTTAATGTTAATCAGAACTGAATCAACATCCATTAATTTTTTTATACCTCAAAGTCACCTATCAAAGCTATTCAAGATAGGATTCACTTAAGTCTAACAGGAAAATATGATTTTTTTTATATTTACTTGTTAATCTTATTCAACAATATGGTTAATAATCGAGGTAACAGTTTAGCTAACAATCAAGAATAAAGGCTAAAAATCAAGGTAGCAATTAGGTAAAAATTATTGGTAAACTCATGTTAGATGTGAAACAAAAGGAATGGAAAACTCAATATTAATGTGTTTTGTTTTACAGGTTTTATGAGCTATTATTATTTACTATTGGGATGGTTAATTGATTTTAGCCTTTACTATTAATTGTACAAATTACTTGGTTAATTACATTTCATTGAAAATGTAATTGAAAGATAACCAACTGAATGACGCTGGATTTACAAAGGATAGATAAAAACAAAAAGCCAACTGACTAGCTGTTGCTGAACATTGGATTTTGGATAGAGACACATAGGACCACAGGTTTTATTTTTATTTTATTTTAACTGTTGATAATGATTAAGGTTGATGGTGATGATGAAGGTAAATGGGATATTTGGTAATTATGAATGTTTCTTCATCAATTAATTACTTACTATTTTATCCGCGGATCCATCAATCAATCCATTGTTTGACCAGCAATTGACAAACTCTCCAAAAAATGTTTAGGTAAAATCCAAATGGGAAAAGAAGAGATGATGATTATGTTGATAATAATTGTTAATATTGACGAATGATGAGAATGATGACAAACATAATTGATAAGAAATCATCATCAACAGGTAACCTTGAGTTAATCAAACAATTTATGATTAAATATTAGTTAAATAAAAAAGTGTCGAGAAGTGGAGAAGAAGAAGAAAAAAGGAAAAGTAATTCACGTGACTTGAAAGGCAATGTTTGAACAATCATTCGATACCAATTGTTGCAGACTGCACAATTAAATTATTTATTTATAACGCTTTCTTCAACACAATTACCAAATTAACATCTCATAAATGCATTATTAACGTGAATTCCTTAAATCAGTGGCGTAATAACAAATTAAAATTCATTAAATGTTTCAATTTAATTAAACAAAACAATGTATCGATCAATACATTGATAGATTGTGCCATTTATGCCACTTACATTGGCATAATCACATGTTCTTGGTCAACCTTTAAGCTGACAATAAATTGACATAATCTTTTCTCCTTGATTTGATTATTATTATTGTATTTACTGATTTTTGGTACTTAGTTTTACAATGATGGACCTGTTGTTAATTGTTCACCTCCAATTGTTATTTTCAACTCAAAACACTGGTTTATGTGAAGGTAAAAATTAAGAAGAAAAAAACTCTTAACAAAGACATCAAATGGATTGATCTCGATGATTGATTAAACAGTCGTTAGTAAAAGACTGTTAACAGGAACTAATTTCTTCAGATTGTTGTTAACTTGAATATGTGATCACAAGGGATTAACCATAATGTTAAATTGGTTCAACTTGAGAAAGAAATATAATTCTTTCAGTGTTTTCTGTTTGTGCCTTTTCACCATAAAATAGCTGTTACCCGAGTAATCTATGGTTGACTGGAAACACTTTCTCACCTAATTGTGATCAAATGTTGATCCACCTTGTGTTATATTTTGTTTTGTGTAAAAAAATGAAGCCAAACCCATTTCCGATATTCATCAAAATAACTCGCTACTAAAATATTAATAGTAATAAGTATAATCAGTAACAATAAAGAGCAAGGTAAGTAATGTGAAAATGTTGATTACATTGAATGATAACGCCAAGAAATAAAACAACATAACAAAATGGTTGCATACAAAAAAAAGCACGACAAGTGGCTCAGTTGATTGAAAAATGATTGTTGTTTACTAATAGAGTAATTAACATACGCATTTCTCATGTATAACGTACTCCTTTTTTGATACTATTTATGATAGTTTTTTTTGTGTTTTGTTGATTCATTGAGAGGTAGTATTTGAAAACAAAATAATCAAGCTGATTTAAACGATATTCAATCAACTACTCGGGTAATTTCCTGGGTGTAAACTATTACAATTTTATAAAGTCATTCTTGTGTTGTTTTCCTATTAAGCTTGGATTGTTTTTGCTTCTCCTTTATTATTCAATTGTATTGAAACAAAAGCCTTTAAAATGAGGTAAAATGTGAATCAAATGAATTTTATAAAGAGAAGCAAAAATTGGAATAAAAAATTCAATTTCTAATAGCAACTTGTAAATTGTTAGCAATATTACTCTTGCCAATGGGTTAACCTTATTAATTTATTACAAGTTGATGAAATAAGATCAAAAATTGAGTAAGCAAATTGTTGTTTAACTGGCAATTGTTGGTGATGATTTAGCATTTGTATTGTTTTTGATTGCCTCGATTGTGACTCGACTTGATTATTTGTGTCTATCATTCATTATTACACACCATAATGATAATCAACATCTTCTGTGACTTTAAGTCAGTGCAAAGCTATTAAAATATGTATTAAATTGTTTATTAGAAGGTCATTTGAGGATTATCATTGTTAAATTTTTACTCACCTTTATTATTAGTGTTAGTATTTTTTATCGTGACAATCAATTTTGATTCAATTCTCCCTTCTTTTCACTCTCAGTTCAATAACCTGTTTTAACCTGAACCTCACCATTATGAGTTTGCAATATTTTTACAGCCAGTCAAAGGTAAATTGTTGTGCTCTTCCCTTCTTGGTTAATGATCAAAGCTTAACCATGATTAAATTTCGTTGTAAACTGTATTAGGTTTCCATTGAAGAGTACGTTGTATACTTTTAATGGACTTAACGCTGTCAAAAGGTTAATTTCATTGGGTTGTTTGTTGGTAAACCTCTAACAGCAATTAACTCTTTCCAGACAGCAAAACGATTCACTTGAGCAAAACTATGGTTTTTAATAATTACCAATTATTTTCATTAATACCTAAGTGTTAGTTTTGATTGAATCGGTAAAAGGTTAAATTGTGTGCCTGTTATTAATATCAAACACTAACCACAAAATGAGCAAACAAGAAGCTCAATATTTATTCAAAATGAATAATCATCATCTGGCACAATTACGCATTCTGATTACAGTTAATGCTGCTGGATCAATGAACCTTACCTTTTCAATATCAAACATGCATGAACAAACTTAATTAAGACATCATTCTTTTAATCAACATTGGCCATTATAAGTCACAATTAACTGAAAATATTGTAAACTTTATCTAACTCTTCATTTGTCTCCTTCAATCAACAGGTTTCATCTTATGGTTACACCAATGAGCAGTTGATTGTCACCGTTTATTGGATTTGTGTCTGCTTTTCTGGCTGAAAGATGATTATCATGGGAATCTTGCATGTATGCTAATTAAATTAATTTAAAGACGATTAAATTAGACCAGAATGGCCATTTGCACGGAAACAAGTCAATCGTAACACCTGTTTAAATCAGATTATCCAACTCTGGTTTGCTATGGTTTTTTTTGTACTACCGGTTCAAATTTAATTCAATTTCGCACTGGTTCAATTAGTCGCCGATAAATGAGGACAGATTAAAATCTTTTTATTAATAAAAGAGTTAATCTGTAAATTAGCAGACTGGTCATTAGCATAAAGTCAACAGCAGACTAACCATTTGTCTGATTCAGTCAAAATTGACATCAATTTGGCCAGTATAAATACTATTGTCTTCAGACTGACAATTGGTTTACCTGATATGACTGTTTAGATCAACTGAAATGAAGATGTTCATCAAACTATTTGTCTTATCTGTTTTGTTTTCATGTGAGTATTCAACATTCAGAAGAAACATTTTAGATATTTTGATATTATTGTTATTGTTAACATGATTGTATTTATTGACTATTTTCAGCTTGTTTGGCCGTGTCTTTACCAAAGTCGATTCTTTTGAAATTATGTAAAACTGCAATATCAGTTGGTAATTTGGGTTTAAATGACGATGAATTTATCTTAGCAATGAATTATATTGGAAACAACTACCTGAATCAACTTGATTTGCCTGCTAACTTTAAACAAATGCCTAACCAAAATTGTAATTTTCAACTTGCTATGACTAATTCTGGTGGACTTCAAATTATGTTAGTGCCTTTACGTCCAATGATGGGTTCGGGAATGAACACAGGATTGCTGAAAGAGCCTCAGTCCAATATTTCTGCTTTTGAACCAACCAGTAATTCTTCGGTTTCTGATTCTGTTTCAAAAGTCGTTTCATCACTGACTTCTGATTACTGTGAAAATGTTGATTTACCAGAATCAGTTGAAATTGAAAATCAAGTTGATGTGCAAAAAGCTGTGCTCAGAATTATATCAAGTCTCCTATCAACATAAAAAGCTATGCTAATTGAAATTGAAAGCTATTTAAGTGCTGTTGACAAACAAATTTTCACCCAATAGATCTTCACAGATGAAAACAACTTTTTATTGGATGAATTTAAACTTTATTGATGTTTCGAATCAAGTATTTAATTACAAATAAAAATCGCATTTTTATCAACAAAAATTATCGTTTATTTATTTTATTTCTATCCCTTCACGATAACCTTAAATTACTTATAAATTCAAGGTATAAATCAAATTTTGAGTTAGCATTCGATGGTCAGTCTTTTATTATCATTTGAAAGTTATTTGTAGTACATTACAATGTTTAAAATCTAAATCAAAATTCGAACTATTTGTCGAATTAAAAAGTTTCTCTGATTGATTTTTATTGATGAAATCGGCTTCAACTTTCAAACTTACCGTATTTGTTTAGTTCAAAAACCTGATTTTATTGTATCTTTTTGTTCTCATTTGTGGTTTTTCGTAACAAGAATTTTAGAGATTGAATATGAATTGAATGTATCGTACCGTATCGTACTCAGTGAAAAGCCATTTGTGATCAGCCATGATCGTATCTTTTCATGGACTCACATATGTTTTACAAGGCTAGAGTTGACTGATGATTATCGTATGAATTTGTATGGTAATTGGATCAATGTTGTAACATTTACATTGAATCCAAACTTTCATTTACATTATAAGAAAGATAACTAACATTTGCGAACAACGTCATTCGTCTTTGCATTTAATTTTTGGCTCTAACAACATGTGCATGAAATGATTACTTTGCTATATAAATCGTCAATCTTGAAAATCAGTTACATGTATTTTATGAATTATTCGCGACATCCACACAATAAAGTACAAACCTTCAAACCGAAATGAAAATGTTCATTAAATTGTTAGCCTTTTCTGCTTTGCTCTCAAGTAAGTACAAAACAAGTGTATAAAAAGTCCAAATTTGAAACTTAACAGATCAATCAAACTTGATATTTACCTGCGATTTTTTGCCCCTTTACAGCGTGTTTAGCCGTAACTCTACCAAAGTCGATGCTCATACGATTATGTGAAACTGCAAAATCAGCTCGTGATTTGGGTTCAACTAAAAGTGAAGTTATCCAGGCAATGGTGAGTGATTTAAAAAGTTACATTGGTCAGTCTGGATTGTCTTCTCACCACAAAGAAAAACAAGTGGTCGATATCAATGAAAATAATTATGGAGTAAACCAGATTGTAAGTGTACTCAATTATGATCCAGAATATATGGGTGAGTGGACGATGGGCTTTCTTAATGTGGTCTCTCAATTAGTAGCGTTCAGACCGATCGCAAGTAACTCATCTTCATTGACATTAACTATCCAAGATTCATTATTTAAACCCAATCTTACAAATGTTTTGCCTGAAAAATTTTATAACATTTTCAAATGGCCCCAATCGGTAGTTTCAGTTGATAAAAATTATGTCTCTGATTTGGTTTCGTCTGCAGCTTCAAAAGTCGTTTCATCATTGAATTCTGATTATTGTAAAATCATTGATTTACCAGAATCAGTTGATACTGACAATCAAGTTGATGTGCAAAAAGCTGTGCTCAGAATTATATCAAGTCTGCTAAAACAATATGAAAAAGCAACTCAATCAATTGAAAACTATCTAAGTGCTGTTGATAAACAAATTACTGGATCAATTTAGACTTTATATTTTAAATAAAATATTATACTACAAATAAAAACCGCAGTTCTATCAACATTTTTTTTATTTAAAACAAATATGATAACTTGTTTCGAAAAATTTTGGGTCTAATCGGTTTTTTTCGTAATTCCATCGGGTTCAGATTCTCTGCAAAATTGACTAAGACTGGATATCCAGATTTCAACTTCATGAAATGATTAATTCATATCGAGATTGATGAAACTACATTACAATTCATTTGCAGGTTGAAACTTATGGTAACAATGTTTTTAAATAATTTCAATGCCCAAGACTTCCAATAATCAAGTCAGGAATATTCAAAACTTGATTGAAAATTGATTTGGTAAAATCAAAATTACATATCTTTAAAGTCCTCATTCAACTAGATCAAAATAAAGTAGGTTTTCGTTGGTCAGTCTGGGTTGTCTGCAAAGGAAAGAACAAACAAATGGTCGATATCAATGAAAATAATTATGGAGTGAAGCAGATCGTAACTATTCTTAATTACCCCCAGAATGAATGAGTGAATGGGTGAAAAGCTTTCTTAATGTGGACTCTGGATTAGTGGCCTCCAGGCCAATCATAAAAACTTGCGATCATTAGCACTAACTGTTCAGGGTTTACCTGAATCTTGAATTTACATTTAATTTTCTATTTGAAATGGCTATTAATTAAACCAAACTTGCACATATTTCCCAGAAAACATTTTATAACCTTTTCAAATTGCCTCAATCGACAATTTAAATTAATTCTGGCTCTAATTGGTTTCAATTGAAGCTTCGCAAACCGATTTATCATCGACTTTGATTGTTGTAAAATGATCGTTTAAATCGATCGAAAGGACAATATGGGCAAAGACTTCAATCGCATTCTGCAGCCGTGCAAGTAAATGAGCTGAAACTTATTATTTTGCTTGTGAAAGTTGCTGGTACACATTAGTCTTTAAATACTTTTTTCAATTAATCGACAGTTTTCTTGATTTTGGCCATTTGGTATCGCGAGAATAACATAGCCTATGTTGGGTAGAGAAATTGGTCTTCTCTTAACTGCTCAAGATCTTGTCTCAATTCAGTTTCAGCTCTTTAAAGCTTTTCATTTATTCAACTTTCATTAGTTTTCAGTTATAAGTTAGCTCTTAAAAGCTTTCATTCAGTTATTCATTTTCAGTATTCCTAATTGTTTTAACTTTAACTTTACTTCTTTTCATTTACTTAATTATTGTATTCACTATTGCTCTAGCAATCTAAATTCATTGGTCAAACTCATTTCATTTGTTTACTTTAGACACACTTCATGCACATTTTCAGGTGAAGCTCTCATGAGCCCTTAATCTTTCAAAGCTGACCACAATATGCTGCTAATCTTGGTAAAAACAAGGGTTGAATTTCAACCTCAAAATTAGTGCACAAAAGAAAGAGTTGCAAAATTCCCTTTCTTTTCCTCAGACTCCAATTGTTAATCCCTTTGCCTTGCAAAGGCTAAGATTACCAATAGGGGTAAAAAAGAGTTGTCTCAAGACAATACTGATAAGGGTAAAGTTGTCACCCCTAAAGTGGCGTCATAGCTTTATTAGTATTGAAATACTCTTTGCACAAGAAACCTAAATTAGACAAATGAAGACAGTGATTTTAATTTCTTTCTTAATTTTCCCACCAATTTCATTTCTTTTGTTCTCATTTTTCATAAATATGGATATCTTAAGATATTTTGCCTTAATTGTAAATTGTCAACTGAAGACGTCTCGGTTCAATTCAATTCATCCTAAAACTCTAAATTGTTCAAGCTCTCTGAAGCTATTTATGATTCTTAAATTTCATTAAAATAAGTTACAGTGAAATCTCTATTTCCAAGTATTCAATCCTTTTCAATTTAACTAAAACTTATCCAAGTTCCAACTCTTATGAGTTCTAATTGTATTACTTGTGAAATCTAACAAGACCTTAAATCTTCGCGATATAAGGGTAAAGCCCCAAATAGTCTTGTTCATAGCTCTAGCTATCTTCATCATCTCTTGTGAGATCTAAATCGTAGTGTAAGTGATTAACTGACAGTGTTGTAAGCTCTGGATTGGAATCCATGATACGAATTTCAAACTTGATATGAAAGCAAGTTGTGCAGTCTTCTAAGTTAGGCCTCTTCGTTGCTCACAAACCTTTCATTTGGCGACCTCGGCAGGATTCCCGTCCGTGTCCCGACTCTGCCTGTTCATCATTTACATGATCTATACCTTATGGTATTTCAACCTTCACCTCATTTGTGACCTTCACAGATCTCCAAAGTCAATTAGCTTTCTTAAGCTCTAAAACTGTAACTCTAACTCCTGTTCCAAAGTGAACCAGTTAAAAGCCATTGAGCTATTCAGTTGAACTCTATCACTCTTGTGATTTCTTATCGCCTTGTGCTCTACGACTCAATTGAAGTCCATCGTTCAACTCTTCATTCAAATTCAAACAGCCAAAGAGCTATCCTGTTGAACTCTTATTCCTCCATCACTATCGTGATTTCCTTATGCCATTGTGCTCTTCGACTCAAGTAGAAGTCAATTCGTTCAACTCTTCCTTTAAAATTCAATTTCAATTTCAACAATTCATCATCACTAACGTGATCTTCATCCTCTTAATTCCTGACAAAGTAAAGTCATTCAATTTCAATTTCAATTCAATTTTAAATTCCAAACCAGTTTTAATTAAACAGTTCTGATACTATTTATCACTTGTGTGATTTCCATAAACAATTAACTCTATCACTTCTGTGATTTCAATTCATCTTAAAAACTTTATCACTTGTGTGATCTCAATTCAACTTTAATTTCTGAGCTTCCTTCATTCAACCTTCACCACAATGCAATTACGTTCTGGTCTTCACTTCAATGCACCCGAAGGTGTAGTTATTGTACGTATGTTAACTCCTGATCAAGCTGTCAATCATCTCGCTGTTTGGCAAGTTTCGATCCCCGCTGCTCCATTTGCGCTTAAGCGATTTTATGAATGTCTTCGCACACACCTAATGCTCTATGGTGATACACTTGAAGATAATGAGATTGGTGAGTTACCGATTGATTCCGTATTGAATCTTGAGATTCCTGAATGGGTAATCGAAAGTAGACAAAATGGTTTAACTGAACCAGAGATACAAACAATTATTCGTACTCTTGGTCGAGAGACTGAAAACATCTTTAGGTCTGCTCCTAATGAGATCTACGCTCTTCCAATTGCTCTTGGTTCTATTCGACGATTTATCGCCGTACTCAACAACCATGGCGTTCAGATCCCTGTAGCTCCCCCTCCTCCTCCTTCTATCGCTTCTACCTCTCCTCCTGTTAACATTCACAATCAAGGCATTGATACTCAATCATTAGCCGCATCCCTATCCGTCTTAAAACCTGATCCTCCAGTCGTTGAATTTGTAAAAGGTGAAGAGATGGTTGAATTTATTCATAAAACTAAGAATAAGTTAGCCCAAGAAAACGTTGATGATGCTACTCGTCTTCGATGTTTCCGTAAATCCTTAGCTCATGAAATTTTAGCAATTGCAGAAAATGAAGTCAGTGATGATATTACTGATTATCATACTTATGTTAATGCGCTTTTAAACGCTATTAAAACTCCAGTACAACAATACTCAGCCGCTTTCCAATTGAAGCAATTAAAATATAACCTCTCTGAACATCCTTCTACATTTATTCAAAAACTTCGTAAAGCCTTCACTAAAGCTGTTGGTGATTATTCCCCTGAAATATTCCTTCACGAGCTAATGTCTCATATTCCTCATTTCCTTACTTCAGAAATCTATACCCTTGGTTATAATGGCAATCTTGACCAAATTACCACTTACTTAATAAGAAAACATTTCGAATACTTACAACAACAACAATCCCATAAATCCCGCTCTGATAAAAATGATAAATCCAATTTTCACCCAAAAGTTTCCACTGTTTCCTCAATGTTAAAGAAACCTGATTCCCGAAACAATTCAAAACCTTACCCAAAGCCAACTTCCCAGCATAACACCCATATTATTTGCAACTATTGCAAGAAACCTGGACATACAATTAATCAATGTCGAACTCGACCTCAAAATAATCGTCCATATAATTCAAACAGAAATTCAAATCCTTCCACTCCCAATTCAAATCAAAATCAAGCATCCTCTTCCTCTCAACCCCTTGCTATTACCAATACGCCAGCAAATGCATCCAACTTAACAATTGGATCAAACCAATTGCCTCCTGAACCAACTCAAGATGGTTTCCGAGATTCTCGTATCTCATACTCTCTTCAAACTGTTCAACCTGTCCAACCGATTCCAATGTTAACTAATTTAGGCGAATCAAAACTATCTCATATGCCTACTGCTGTTTTTAAACTTTGCCGTCCTAACAAAGAAATTGTCCGGGAAGGAAAAGTTTTACTGGATACTGGATCCGCTATTTCTGCTCTTGATTCATCTATCGCTGAAGAATTAGGTGCACATATCATTCCGTATTCACGATCACTAAAAGGTATTGCTGCTCAAACGTATGTTCCCTCTCATGGTATTGCATACGCTGTAGTCAAACACCCTAAAATGGCAGAATCTCGAGTTTTCAGACTTCAAATTGTTAACAACTTCGAACCAGTTTGTTTGATTGGTAATGCATTCTTGCATCTCTATTATATGCAACTTAAATCCGATGGTAATGATTATATTACAACCTGTTCTGAGTATCTTGACTCAACCCCGCTTGATCCAAACTTTTATTTCCGATTCTGTACCCCCGAGGAAACTCAACAAATTCTTAATTCAACTCTCTATCCTACTGGTAATGACTCTGATTCCTACATTCTCGATACACGAACTAAACGTTCAGCAAATCCTGTTTCCCTTCAAGTTGGTAATTCTCCAGCAGTAATTGCTAAATGCGATCTCCACTCTCCACAGGAAATCATTGAAATTCAAAGACAAGAGCGCCCTTTCAAAACTAAAATCTATGAAAAGATTGACGAAAACCTTCCAGATAA